GACTTGAAACATGGTTAGCCATGTAGTAGTCCATTGCATCAATCAACCTGCCATCTGCTGGCCCCTCCTGGATTAAATTTAGAAGAAAAAATTAACTGAAAATGGGTGGTACCTAGCCAATATGAAAATTGCTGCCAATTTATTTGATCTTATCTTGAGTTTGAACTGTGAGTGAGCTTGGATTGCATTTATTTTCATCAAGGAGCTTTCTTGCTTTCTTCAGGTTTGGCCACTCTGTAGAAACTAGGCTTTCTCATTCCCTGTTATGTTTTGCTTTAGCATTCACAGCACTGAGAGAGAGAGAAGCAAAGTTTTCTTACATATTGTCTCTTCCCACTAAACAAGTGTTCCCTTAGGCAGGGCTTCATTCTTTTAGTGCTGTATTTCAGCACTTAGATCAGTGCCTGACTCTGCATAGCAGAGAATGAATGATTGATGAATGAGCCAACCGAGGATATATTGGGGAAGGTGAAATAGAAGAGTATTGAGTTGATTTCTTTTCTTTTTTATTTTGTTTGCCACTTTTGCCAGAGAGAAGCAGAGAGAGGGAAAGTGAGAAATCACCCCCACGGGTAATGGCCATGCTGCAGTCCTTTTTCTTTCCTTCTCCTTCTGGAATTTTGGGCACATACGCACACACGCCTGACGTGTTTTTCAAGTTGCTGGGTCTGGGACTCTATCCGCCTTCCACCATGTGGGAGTCTAGTGCCTTAACCTCTATACTACCTGGTGGCCCCAATTTCTTTCTTTTAAAGCTGGTTTTGTGAGCATTTTATCATTAGTAGTAAGAAACTTGTACTTTAAGCTCCTGCTGCCATGAGGATATTCTCAAGTCCATTGGAATGATTTTGAAAATACTATTGCTTCTGCTGAGAGCACTTGCTGAAGGAAAAAGAAAGCATCAGCTCAATTTTTTTTCTTTTTAGTTTTTGCTGTAGGGTGCTTGTGCTTGCCAGAGTGACAGAGGTAAGAGAGAAGGGGGGAAGTGAGAAGTCTCCCCCTCAGGGGAATGGGCATGCTGAAATCCTGTCTCTTCCATTCTTATGTCAGGATTTGGGGCACATACTCAGCCAGCCTTGTTTTCATGCTGCTGGGTCTAGGGCTGAAACTGCCGTGTCGGCCATGTGGGATCCACTTTCCTTAGCCACCATACCACTGGCTGGCCCTCACATCTTTTTATATAACTTTTTTTTTCCCCCAGTTCTCCACAGGATATGTGTGCTCGCTGGTGAGTACAAATAAGCACCCTCATGGGGCATGGTCATGCCACAATCCTTTTTCCTTCATCTCTCCCTCCTTTCAAGATTGTGGGCATGTATTCACAGGTAGCTGGTGTGTTCAGTTCTCAAGCTGAGTCTGGGACTCATACTGCAGTCAGCCATATGGAATTGAGCTGCCTTAACCACCAGGACATGGGCTGGCTCTACTTTTAGATACTTTCTAAAGAAACTCAAGTCACCCAAACTGTCTTCCTAAAAATCCTGATTTTGAAGGAGGCAACAGAGCATCTGTTGATGAAAAGTGATTTACAGGTACAGCAGATACTTCATTGCATCTACTTTTGTTCTGTGCCACGTGAAAACTCATTTGCACTTTTTCTGTCTGCGGGGGCAGCTCATCTTTGCTTTTCCTGGGCTCCAGTTCCCTTGGGGTAAAATAATTCATATTGATTTTTTTTTTTCAAAGAGAGACTTTTGGGGGCCAGTAGGTGGTGTGGTGGCTAAGATGCTGGATACTCTCACATGACTGACTGGTTCAAGTCACGGACCTGGTGGCTTTCTTTCTTTCTTTTTCTCTCTCTGACCAAATTAAAATATAAATGAAGCAATAAATAAGATTAAATAATTCTTAAAAAATAAAGATTTTTGCTATAGGGGCATCTGCGCTCGCTGGAGAGACAGACAGAAAATGAGAAATCATCCCCTAGGGGGGATGGCCATGCCACAGTCTGTTCTCCATTCTCCTCTTGGGATTTTAGGCAAGCACGCACATGTGCCTGGCATGAATTTTAAGCTGTTGGGTCCAGGACTCAAACTGTGGTATACTACGTGAGTGTCCAGCAACATAACCATCATGGCATCTGCTGGTCCTAGTTCATGTTGAGAATTTTTTTTTTTTTTTTTTTTTTAATTTTTTTTTTTGGTAGTTTATTCATCTTCTATTCTGGTGGTTCAATGTTGAGTTTTAAAAAGTTATTCATGGGGACCAGCAGGTGGCATGATGGTTAAGGCGCTGGACACTCCCACTTGGCTGACCACGGTTCAAGTCCCAGACCTGGTAGCTTGCTTTCTCACTTTTTCTCTCCCTTTCTCTGTGTCTCTCTGGTCAAATTAAAATAAATGAATGAATAAATTTAAAAAAGTTATTCATTTCTGGGACCAGCAGGTGGCGTGGTGGTTAAGGTGCTCAGCATTCCCACATGGCCAACCACAGTTTGAGTCCTGGACCTGGTGGTGGCTTACTTTCTCTTTCTCTCTCTCTCATTCACTCTCTCTCTCTTTGTCTCTCTGGCCAAAATAAAATAAATGAATGAATAAACAAAATTAAATAAATTTAAAAATTTATTCATTTCTCTCTTCCATGAACTAGAGAGACAGGAAGAGAGGTGAACAGACGCAGAGCAAAACAGCATCCCCAACAGGAGCTTCACCCTACAGTTCCTAGCTTTGGCCAGCTTTGGGTCATGGGCACATGCTATGTGGATCAGTCTGGCAGAATGCTGCCTTACCACTTCAGCATCATCTGGTTTTGGTTTGTTCTGGCCATTAATACAGATGTTGCTTTTATTACATGACCTAAGGAATGATGTAGCCCAGTTTGTCAGGAGAAAGATCAGTGTGGTTGGCCTCCTTGCTATAGGGCACGTGCACTTGCCAGAAAGACAGAGATGGAGAGACAGAAAGTGAGAAATAATCTCAAGGAGGGATAGCAACGCCACAATCCCTTCTCCTCCATTCTCCTCTGGGGATCTCGGGCACGCATGCACATGTGCCCAGTGTGAGTTTAAGCCACTAGGTCCAGGATTTGAACCGCGAATGAATACATGGGAGTCTAGTGACATAGCCATTATGCTGACTGCTGGTCCCAGCCTTCTTGATCTTAGAAATTCGTTTTTTTTGAATTATGTGATAGACCAGATTTTATTTTTATCTCAATAATATTTAAATTGGGGAAGAAATTCAGTTTCAAATGTTATTGACAGGCTTCAAACATTTGTGATGGAGAGGTCAACATCATACAGAAATCTTCCTAGTAAAGTTTTAGATGACCAGTAACTTCATCAATTAGGTCTGTTGGCCCAATTCCTAGGACAGTTCAGAGCCTGGTTCAATCTGAGTACATCCAGTATCTTGAATTAAACTCATGGTCAGTCCACGCATTTTCACATAGGTCAATAATTCAATCAAGGTTTCTTCATCAGGAGCTTTGACCACCACTTTGGGCTGACCACAGTATTCCCAGTCTTTGAGCATTTCAGGATTTCTTCTTTGAATTTGCTCGTAGGCAGAAACAGCAGCATGGGAGCACTGGGCAGCCACTTTTCCTTTTCCCATTTTTAAGCCATTTTGAACTACAAGAATCATTTTATATTCCCCACTCTCTTCCAAGATGCTTGCTTCAGTTCCGGTCTCTGTGTTTATTTCGCTTGCAGAGCTTTTGGGGAGCATCCCAAAGTATACCCGAAGGCCCCAACCCAGGTACATGCCACAAGCAACTCCGGCAGCCAGGCTGAGTCACATATGCCATAATCAAGGATTCGGAGAATATCTGCTCACACTGGCCCTTCCAGTTCTTCTCTTTAGGGTAGCAAACTTACTTCTCTCGCTCTACCTACTTCTTCCCTTTTTAGTTTTTTTAAATTTTATTTTAATTTATTGCTATTACTTTTTTTATTTGATTGGAAAGAGACAAGGACAATGAGAAAGCAAGCCACCGCGAAGTCCAGGACTTGAACCACAGTTGGCCATTTGGGAATCCAGTGCCTCAACTACCATGCCACTTATGGGCCCCGATCTTTTTTTTTCTTCCTTCAAAGAATTATTTATTTTTTCATTCATTTATTTTAATTTGACCAGAGAGAGACGCACAAAGACAGAGGGAAAAAGTGAGAAAGCAAGCCACCAGATCCAGGGCTCAAACCGTGGTCAGCCATGTGGGAATGTCCAGTGCCTTAACCACCACGCCACCTGCTGGTCCCCTTAGAAATTCTTTTTTTGAGGAGAGGTTTTCGCTATAGGGCACGTGCGCTCGCCAGACAGACAGAGACAGACATAGAGACAGGAAGCGAGAAATCACCCTCCAGGAGGATGGTCACGCCGCAATCCCTTCTCCTCTTCCATTCTCCTCTCGGGATCTTGGGCACGCATGCACACGCGCCCGGCATGAGTTTTAAGCCACCGGGTCCGGGATGCGAACTGCGGTTGACTACATGGGAGTCCAGCGACATAGCCATTACGCTAACTGCTGGTTCCCTCCCTTAGAAATTCTTAACATACAAACTAGAAGTGCCTTCTCTAAGTCTTAACTCACTGTGTGGTATGATACTCACTGAGATATTCGCGTTTCGATGCCCTAATTGTCTCCTGTCTTCCTACAGTTGATTTGTTTGACCTGGCATGCAGAAAGATTCACACGTTGCCGTTGCTTGCTGAATCCTTCCATCTGTTATGTCTCTGCCCCTCCCTTCTTCCCCATGCCATTTATTTCCTGAAAAAATTGGGTCATTTGTTTGCAGGAGTTCTGACATTCTAGGTGTGGCTGGTCGCTTCCTCCAGTTGTTATTTAACTTGGCAACATCTAGTCTCTAATTCTAAAAACTGGAGGTTACATGTCATTGGATTCAGGTTTAGTTTTTTCAGTAAGAGTACTTCATGGGTTGCGCTGGACACTTCATAGTGTGTTATGTCATTAAGGGTTTATTTTATGGCCTTCTCATTTTAGTGATATTACAGCTGATGAGTAGGTGTAGGTGCTGATAAACCTTTTTACCTCTATTTCAGAGAAGCTTGATTCTTTGCTCTCAGACTACGATATACTCTCTTTATCCAGTATCCAGCAGCACTCAGTAAGAAAAAGGGATCTACAGGCCTCAACACATTTAGAGAGACTGCTTACTTTTTCCGCCTTGAAAAGGTAATTTGAATTATTTATAGAATAATGGGGAAATTGGGGAAGAGGGTGGTTCAGCAAAAAAACAGAAAGTAGGTTATTTGCTCAGATCTTAGGAAATTATATTTTAAAGATTTGTAATTGATATGATTACAGTCTGCCGTATAAGGACTTCTAGAGTATAATGCTGTTCTCATATTTATACTGAAAATGTTTTTAAAAAATAACTGTTCCAAAGGTATTGATGATGGTAATAATATGTTTATGAAATTCAAACAAAGAATCTTGGTCAAATGCTTATAATACCATACATTTCTGGTGCTACTTAACTCACTTGTGTATACCATACATTTCTGGTGCTACTTAACTCACTTGTGTACTAAATGTTTTTATTTTCCATGTGAAAACACTGCGATTTAGCTATAAATATCTTGTTCAGGTCCTTGTAGCCTGGTGAGCTGGGTTTAAAATTTAGTGTTCTATCTACACGGAATTCCTCTTACTCCATAGTATAAACTGATTGATGTGGTCCATTGGGCAGTAATTTTAATCACTCACATTCTGCACATTTAAATTTGATAAGTGCAGGCCCGTTTCTGCAGTCTTTTTGGGGAGCTTTAACCAATATCAAGAAAAATAAACAGTAGGAGACTGTAAATGAGCTGAATTATTTATTCATAGATAGGCCTTCTCCACTACATTAAAAAAAAGGTATTATTAGTATCCAGCTTATAAAGCAAATTACAGAGGGTGTTAAAAGTTTTCATCTCTTTTTTTTTTTTTTTTGAGAGGTTTTTTCCCTATAGGGCGCGTGCACTCGCCAGACAGACAGACAGAGACATAGAGACAGAAAGCGAGAAATCACCCCCCAGGGGGGATGGTCATTCCACAATCCCTTCTCCATTCGCCGCGCAGGATCTTGGGCACGCACGCAGACGCGCCCAGCGTGAGTTTTAAGCCACCAAGTCCGGGACACGAACTGAGGTCGACCCTGTGGGAGTCCAGCGACATAGCCATTACGCTAACTGCTCGTTCCCAGTTCTCATCTCTTCTTAACTCTGTTGTGCTTTCCAGACCCAGAGAGGATGTCTGTATAAACTTCCTAAAGATTTTAGTGTGGATTGGTAGGTGTTGTAGTGGTTAAGACACTGGATTCCCATATGACTGGCCCATAATTCAAGTCCTAGACTGGGCAACTTTCTTTCTCATTTTCCCTTTCTCTCTCTCTCTCATCAAAATAATAATAATAATGATAATGATAATAAATTCTTTAAAAAATTTAAAAATCTTAAAGATTATGTATATTTTCTGACTATAGATCTATATGTATGCATGAAGGTGATACAAATAACAGATTTACCTTATTTTAAACAACTGCATAAATATTCCTACTGTAGAGAGTTGTAACACCTTGTGTACTACCCTACAAATGGACATTGTTTAACCACAGCGATTGTTTCTCCAGAGTGATTTTTTTTCTTTTTACCTATTACAAATAATGTTCCAGTGACTATTGTAAATATACGCTGTCTTGATGTGTTTCTTTTCTGTGTGTTTTATTTTTAAAAAATTTTTAGAGGTTTTGCTATTGGGCATATACATTTACCAAAGAGACAGAATGAGAAGTCACTTTTGGGGGGATGGCCATGCCACAATTCCTTTTTCTCCATTCTCCTCTCAGGATTTTAGGCACGCACATGTGTCCAGCGTGAGTTTTAAAGCTGTTGGGACTGGGAATCATGGTCAGCCATGTGGGAGTCCTGCGATGTGACCAGTGCTTGTCCAAGTGTGTTTTTTTTTTTTCAGGTTTTTGCCATAGGGCACATGTGCTCCCCAGAGAGAGAGAGAGAGAGAGAAAGAAAGAGAGAAAGAGAGAAAGAGAGAGGGAAACATACAGAGGGTGAGAAATCATCCCCCAGAAGGGATGACCACACTGCAGTCCCTTCTCCTCGAGTGTCCTCTAGTCTTCTCTTGGGATTTTGGGAGTACAGGTACATGTGCCCAATGTGATTCTTTCTTTTTAAGAAACACATATTTAATTTTATTTATTCATTTATTTTAATTTGATCAGAGAGAGAGAGGGAAAGTGAGAAAGTAAGCCACCAGGTCTAGGACTCAAACAGTGATCAGCCATGTAGGAGTGTCCAGTGCCTTAACCACTATGCCGCCTACTGGCCCCAACCCAGTATGATTTTTAAACCATTGGGTCTGAAACTTGTATGGCGGTCGGCCAGGTAGGAGTTCAGCATCTTAACCAGTATTCCATCTGCTGGCCCCGTCTTGGTGTTTTTACAGGCTACATTCTTGGAAGGAATTATTGGTGCAAGGATATATATACTACAGATGTTCCTTGATAGTTTTCTCCCAAAGAGATTAGGTCAGTTCTTCTAGCGACAGTGTCCTTACTCTATGAGTTTTCCTGTTACCTAGTACTCTTGCCAATATTGGATCTTATCAGCCCTTAATTTTCACTCCTCTATGAGAGGATGGTATCGCATATTAGTTTCCTTTTTTTGTGTGTGTGAAATTGAGCATCATTTTTTTTGTTGTTTTTTATTATTATTTTATTTAACTTTATTATTACTTATTATTTTAATTTTAAATTTCTAGAGAGAAACAGAGTGAGAGAGAGGGAAAGTGAGAAGGCAAGCTTCCAGATCCGGGACCTGAATTGTGGTCAGCCATGTGGGAGTCCAGCATCCTTAGCCACCACGCCATCTGCCAGCCCCAAAATTGAACATCTTTTTATATGCTTATAGGTCTTTTACTTTTTTGTTAACTGACTTTTTATAGCCTTTGATTTTTTTCTTTTGAGTTTGTCTTTTTGTCTGTTGAACTGTAGTAGTGCTTAGTATCTTAAGGAAATTGAAGCATTATCACACATGTTACTGAGATTTTATGCAGTTATTGTATTTTTATTTTTCTTAGCTATCACCATCATCCTTAGTTTATCCTTGTTTTTTTTTTTTTTTTTTAAGAATTTTAATTTTTTTGTATTTATTCATTTATTTTAATTTGACTAGAGAGAGAGACATAGCCCACAAGGAAAGTGAGAAAGCAAGCTGGCAGGTCTGGGACTTGAACAGTGGTCAGCCATGTGGGAGTGTCCAGCGCCTTAACCACAGTGCCACTGCTGGTCCCTATCCTTAGTTTTTTTGAATAACTTTTTTGTTTTATTTTATGTAAAAGTATTATATTGATTATCTTCCAACTCATAGCAAATTCGATCAGAGTGACTATAATAATAATAGCTACAGTTTATTAAGGACATATTTCGGTAATTTACTAGACAGCATATTTCTCATCATACTCTGCATAGAAATTGTTGTTACTCTCTTTTTGAAGGAAAACATTGAGGTAACTTAACCATGATTACTCAGCTAGTAAGTGGCAGATAGAGGATTTGAAGAGGTGTACCTTGGATATTTGTATTATTTCTGCTGCTCTGGTAGACAGTTGTGTGAAGGAGTGGACATAGTAGTAAGAAATGAGTTAGCAAGGGAAGAGGGAAGAAGTGATAAATTACATCTTCACTTTCTGGGTTTCTTTTTATTTATTTATTTATTTTTTCTTTCTTTTCATTTTCTTTCCCTCCCTCCTTCCAAGAGACAAAGACAGGGACCCTTGACAGGATTTTGCCATGTTGTGTTCCTCCCCTCAACTCTCCAGCCAGCCAGTATCGTGGGCATGCCTTTCATGTTCAGGCTAACCCTGGATTTGAACCCCAGGCCTTCCTGTGTGGCTTCAGTATTGTGCAGTGACACTCTACCACCAGTGCCACTGCAGCTGGGCCTCTGGGTTTCGTTAAAAGTCAGATTTGAGGTGGCTTGCAGAATCTTTTCCTTCCTTCCTTCCTTCCTTCCTTCCTTCCTTCCTTCCTTCCTTCCTTTCTTTCTAATTGTTTTTATTTGCCAGAGGGCACATGAACTCTTGCCAGAGAGAGTGAGAAAGCATCCCATAGTGGGGCTTGGTCATGCTGCAGTTCTTTCTCCTTTTCTTCATCCTGTGGGTCTTTTGGGTTTACAAGTGCCTAGTGTATTTCTGAAGCCTCTGGGTCCAGGATTTCAATTTTGCAGTTGGCTGTGTGGACTCGACTTCCCTTAACTACCAGGCCACGGGGCTGGCATCAGAATCCTTGCTATAGGAACAAGTACTTCCACATCCTTACATGTTTATTTCTTATTCATGTTTCAGAGACAACGTGGATTTACTTAGAAAATGTTAAATAATATCTACTTGTTATCTTCTCTTGGTGTAAGGAAGCAGGGAGGTTTAGCAATTTATCTTTTTTTTTTTTTTTTTAGAAAGAATTATTTATTTTTATTAATTTAAATTTGATCAAAGAGAGGGGCAGAATGGGGTTGGGAGTGAGAATGCAAGCGCTTAGGTCTGAGACTTGAACCATGTTTGGCCATGTGGGAGTCCAGCCCCCTTAACTACCACACCACCTTCTAGCCCCAAACTTTTTTTTTTCCTCAAAGAGAGATATTTTGCTATAGGGCACATGTGCTCACCAGAGAATTAGAGACAGATAGCAAGAAATCACTCCCGAAGGGGATGACCACACCACAATCCCTTCTCTTCCATTCTCTTCTCGGGTTTTAGGGCATGCACACGCACTTGGCATAAGTTTTAAGCTGCCGAGTCTAGGGCTAGAACTGCAGTCGACTACGTGGAAATACAGCGGTGTAACCATTACACCATCTACTGGTCCCAGCAGTTTATGTTACAGAGCTTCCATCTTAAATGTTTAATGGGAAATATTTCTAACTATCTTTAAGAGATTATATAAAAATGAGTTAAGTTTACTTTTTTGAGGGGCCAGTAGGTGGAGTGGTGGTTACAGCACTGGACTACCCCATGGCTGACTATAATTTGAGTCCTGGACCTGGCCGCTTGCTTTCTTACTCTTCTTGTCTTTCTTTCTGTCTGGCTCTCTCTGGTCAAATTGAAGAATAGTAACAATTAATACAATTAAATAAACTGTTTTTTTTAAAAAGATTTATTTAATTTAATTTTATTTATTCATTCATTTATTTTAATTTGACCAGAGAGAGAGAGACAAAGAGAGAGAGAGAGGGGGAAAGTAAGAAGGTCCAGGACTTGAACTGTGGTCAGCCATGTGGGAGTGTCCAGCACCTTAATCACCACGCCACCTGCTGGTCCCCTTAAATAAACTCTTTATAAAAAGATGACTTTTATGAAGTTATTTATTATAAATCAAGAAATACTCTTTAAAGCAAAAAAAAAAAAAGCTACAAATATTGTTTTGATCCTTTTCTGATAATGTTATCAGACTTTTTTTTGGTAAAAGTTAAATGTTTCTTCTGAAACTGAAACATCCCAGATTATTTGGAGGGGGAATCAGTGTGATATAGCTGACTAAATGGATTGTTAAACCTAGAAAGGAGGGCAGTTCCCTGGCCTGGTAGTTAAGGCAACCAGATCCCACATGGCTGACCACACAGTTTGAGTCTTGGACCCAGCAGAGAAACATGCTGGGTGCGTGTGTATGTACCCAAAATGTTGAAACGAGGGCGAGATGGAGGGGATGGGATGATGGCAAGACCACTCCCCATGGGGGATACCCCCCATCTCTGTCTTTTTCTAGCAAGAAACAAAAAGATAGGAAAATAATGTTAATTCAGACTGGTTAGCCCTAGTATATAGTTGCTGTATATCCTTAAATCAAAAGTTAGAAAGGTAAATGAAGATGTTAAGGAGGTCTGTGAGTAAATGATGTCACAGAAGTGTAGGAGGATAAAGTAAAAGCAATTTTGACAGACGTCCTGTTGGAGGTTTTTTTTTTTTTTTTTTTTTTAGGTTTTTGCCATAGGGCACATGCACATGCACTCACTGGAGAGAAAGAACAGTGAGAAATCACCCCACAGTAGGGATGGCCACACTGCAGTCCCTTCTCCTCCACTCACCTCTTAGGATTTTGGACCCTCACCTATGTGCACTTGGTGTGACTTTCAAGCTGCCAGATCTGGGACTCAAACTGCAGTTCGCAATGTGGGAATCCAGTGCCTTAACCACCATGCTACCTGCTGTCCTCTCCCATTGGGAGATTCATAGCTCAAAAGCTAGGTTGAGAAAATAAACCACAGCTTTTACTATCACTTGGTCTTTATCTTTATAGCAGATTTTTTTTTTTTTGAGAGATTTTTCACTGTAGGGCACGTGCGCTCGCCAGACAGACAGAGAGAGACATAGAGACAGAAAGCGAGAAATCACCCCCCAGGGGGGATGGTCATGCCGCAATCCCTTCTCCTCCATTCTCCTCTCGGGATCTTGGGCACGCACACGCGCCCGGCGTGAGTTTTAAGCCACCGAGTCCGGGACGTGAACCGCGGTTGACTACGTGGGAGTCCAGCGACATAGCCATTACGCTAACTGCTGGTTCCCTTTATAGCAGATTTTTGAATGCAAAGATGAAGAATGTGATCTTGTGATTTTTGTGGAAAAAGCATTAAATAAAAGTAGTATTGTCACTCATAGCTTTAAAACTAAATAAGGTAGTTATAATAGGGATGTTTTACTTTTTTTTTTTTTTGGAGAGGTTTTTGCTATAGGGCGCGTGCGCTCGCCAGAAAGACAGAGACAGACAGACAGAAAGTGAGAAATCACCCCCCAGGGGGGGTGGCTACGCCGCAATCCCTTCTCCTCCATTCTCCTCTCGGGATCTTGGGCACACATGCACACGCCCGGCATGAGTTTTAAGCCACGGAGTCCGGGACACGAACCGCAGTTGACTACATGGGAGTCCAGAGACATAGCCATTACGCTAACTGCTGGTCCCAGGGATGTTTTACTTTTCAAAGTTCTCAGCTTAACCGAGGGGAACAAAACATACCTGAGAATATGTGGGAAGATATATTTTAGGATTGTAGAAGAAAATGTTCCAAGATTTTATCAAATAATATTCTATTAATCTTTCCCTCTGACCATTGAAAAACCACAGGCAAACTAAAATTACCTTGTTATGCTTAAAAAGTTAAAAATATTTGTTGCCATGGAGACAGTCGCAGTCTAGATTTCTTCCTGGCAGTTTAAAGACATATGCAAACTCATGGGGGAAGTAACATTTCATATTTTCATCACCACAGCCAACAACATTTGTTCCTGTCACTGAGATGAATAACATACTTTTCTTTGCCTTTGGTATTCATGGGCTCCTTGAAAGGGCTCTGTAAGTAAGAATTGAAAAAGTCGTGCTCACTACTCTTAGTTTTTGTCAGCACTTAAACTTATGGACAGCAAAAAAAAAGTGGGGGGGACCAGCAGTTGGCGTAATGACTATGTCGCTATATTCCCATGAAGTCGACTCGGTGGCTTAAACTCATGCCAGGCGTGTGTGCAGGTGTGCCCAAGATCCCCAGAGGAGAATGGAGGAGAAAGGATTGCGGCGTGGCCATCCCCCCTGGGGGGTGATTTCTCAATTTCTGTCTCTCTGTCTCTCTTTGTCTTTCTAGAGAGTGCACATGCCCTATAGCAAAACAAACAAACAAACAAACAAAACTCTCAAAAAAAAAAAAAGGCAAACTGAAGAACTACAGTGTATATGTTAATGTCTGTTACCTTTTTAAAAAAATATCTGTTATCTTTTCTTGTTGGTTATCTTTAGTTTTCAAAGGTAACTGTGGATTAGTTTTTCCTTTTTCAAAAAATTTTCTGCCAGTGGACATGTGTACTCACCAGAGAAAGAAAGTGAGAAAGTGCTCCCCGTGGGAATCAGTCATGCCATGATCTCTTTTTAATTTCTTTTGGAATTTTGGGCACACATGAATACATACCATTCGTGTTTTGTTCTCTTTTTTTTGAGAGATTTTTGTTACAGGGCATGTGCACTTGATGGGAAGGCAGAGACAGACAGACAGATAGTGAGAAATCATCCTTTGGAGGATGGTCACACCGCAATCTCTTCTCCTCCACTCTCCTCTTGGAATCTTGGGCACGAGTACACATGCACCCAGCGTAAGTTTAAGCTACCAGGTCTGGGACACGAACTGCAGGTGACTGTGGGAGTCCAGTGATATAACCATTATGCCTGCTGGTCCCCATTAGTGTTTTCAAGCCACTGAGACTGGACCTCAAACCAAGCAGTCAGCCGTGTGGGATCCAGCTGCCTTAACCACCATGCCACTGACTGACTCTAGTTTCCTTTTTCTCCTTTTACCAGAGAGTGTATGCACTCACTAGAGGGAGAGGGAGAAAGCACCCCACAAGGGGATGTGCTCACACAATGATTCCTTCTCCATTTATTCATCCTGCTAGGATCTTGGGCACATATGCACACAGACCCTGCTCTATTTTTTTTTTTTTTTAAGACATTTGTGGAATAGCATGCTTGCACTCACCAGAGAGACATTCCTAGGGAGGAATGGCCATGCCACAGTCCTTTCTCCATTCTCCTCTCAAGATTTTGGGTGTACATGCACACAGGCTTGGCATGAGTTTTAAGCTACCAGATCTGGGACTTGAACTGTGGTTGACTATGTGCGAGTCCAGTGATGTAACCATTATACCATCTATCTGCTGGTCCTGACCTTGTTTTTTTGTTTTGTTTTGTCTTGTTTTTTTTTTAAGCTACTAGAGCTGAGATTCAAACAGCAGTCAACCATGTGACATCCAGTTCCCTTAACCACCAGGCCATGGGTCTGGCCTGTGGATTAGTTTTTTGTTTGTTTGTTTGTTTGTTTTTTTAGAGGTTTTTGATATAGGGCGCATGCACTCGCCAGAAAGACAGAGACAGACAGAGAGACAGAAAGTGAGAAATCACACACACACACACACACACCACCACCAGCACCCCTCCCCCCGGGAGAATGACCATGCCACAATCCCTTCTCCTCTCAGAATCTTGGGCTTGCATGTACATGTGCCCGGTACGAGTTTAAGCCACTGGGTCTGGTACTCGAACCATGGTCGACTACATGGGAGTCCAGTGACATAGTCATTACACCAACTGCTGGTTCCCAAGATGGACTTTTTTAAAAAGAAAGCATTTGTGTTTTCAAATACAGAGAGCAGCATTTGTTACTTTTGCATGACAATAAGGACATTCCTATAGCAGCTTACTTGCTAGAAGGTAGTAGTCCAGGGTTTTTAAATAAGCCTATTTCGGTTTCTAGTTTCACCATTTATTAGCTGCGTAGCCTCGACTCTGTCCAGTAACCTCCAAATTGCAGTTTTCACTTGTGTGGAGTAGAGGGGCTATATATAGCTCCTAATACCATGTAGGTATTCACTAAATGGTATATCTTTATATTACTCTTTCATAATACATTTTTGAGATAATTAGGACGCCAACTTAAAAAACTCAGCTGTGTTTTCTTGGTCTTCAGTGTTTTCATGAAAGTGAATACATAGGTCTTTGAGTCCTTTCCCTTCCAGTATTGGCCTGCCATGTTTTTATATCAAACAAGTTAGCCCATCTGTTTTCACAGGAGATGTATTTCTTTAGGTACCTGGTAACACATTTCTTATAATTTTAGTAATATTTTATTAATGTCAGTTCTGGCTTTTCAAGAAAGTTTAATTAAATGGAAATTAGCCTTCTAGTGTATGTGCTTGGTGTAAAATATGAATGCATTCTTTCCTCAGGCATTTCAAATTGTACCTGACATCGAGTACTGAACGCTTTTCCCAGAATTTCAAAGTTGTGGTGGTGGATGGTAAAAATGAAAGCGAGTACGCCGTAAAGTGGCAGGACTTCTTCAGTGGACATGTGGTCGGTTAGTATGGAGCTTGCTCGTTTGCCCTTGCGTCTGAGGTATTAGGTGTCCAGACCTAGCTGGACTGCATTCTTGTTTTGGTGGTGGTGGGGGGTGTCATAGCAGTGCTTTCTTTGGTTGTTCTTTCGCGCTCCAGAAGTTGGAAGCAGAGCGTTCTGACAGGGAGGTGGGTATTGTTTAGCGTGTCATTCACACTTGCTCTTTAGTGTGATGATTAAAACTAATTTCCTCTCGTGTGACAAGAATTTAATCTTCTCTTGTCTTTAGGATTTTATAGGTTCTTTTATGAGATTTTAAAATAGGGCAACTAGGAAATAAAATAATTTACTTTGTAATTATGTGTTTTTTTTTTTTTTTTTTTTTAATTTTATTGGAGAGAGACAGAGAAGAAAGAGGAAAAGAACAAAAGTGAGAAAGCTTACCCCAAGGGACTGGTCATGCCACAGTCCCTTCTCCATTTCTTACTCCTTAGGGGATTTTGGACACACATGGCCAGTGGGTTTCTCAGGCCACCGGTCTAGAACTCGAACTGTGATGTTGGCCACGTGGGACCCAGTGCCCTAACCACTAGGCTATGGGCTGGCCCAATACTGTTAGGTATATATTTGAGACATATACAGAATAAGCAATGAAGTGTACTTTTTGAACTTTTTCTGCAATAAGGAAAAATAAATAACATTAAAATTCCCAATCTTACAGTGCAAGACTTGTATATTCGAAATCATACCTCCTGCCTTCTCTTAGTTCTTCCTTATCCAAAAGTAGGTAAAGTTATTCTGGAAGAAAATTGACAGTTTTTTTTGTATTGAGAAAGGGTGTCAAACACCATCAGAGGCAACTATTACCTGTTTTCTTGGGGCCTTTGCTTTTGGTTTCAAAGCTCTCTCACTCCTCAGGCAGATTCCACTGTGATAAGGGATTTGATTGATTTTTATCGACTGCAGTGCATAGTTTATAATTCATATAAATATTTTTTAATAATAAAATTTTTTTCTTCTCTTAAGGTGAGCCTGACTCTAGGGTTCTAGCCCACATAGGAGATGATGATGTTACAATACGAATCAACACAGATGGGGCAGAATATAACATAGAGGTAAAACTACATGCAAATTTGTTTTCAGTGACGTATCTCTGATTTTTAAAAAGTGCTTTAGTTTTAAGAGTGCAAAGGTGAAAGTAATTATACTTACCTTTTTTCTCATCGTATTTAAGATTTTTTAAATCAGAAATACTTAAGTACTTAGACTTGGGGCTGGCAGGTTAAGGGCACTGGACTCCCACATGGCCAACCGCGGTTTGAGTCCTGGACTTAGAGGCATGCTTTCTTGCTTTCTCTCTCTCTTTCTCCCTCCCTCTCTGGTCAAAATTTTAAAAATAAATTAATAAAAGTTAAATAAAATAATTCTTAAAAAAAAGAAATACTTAGACTTGGAAAAGGATCATATATTTTAACATCTGTAAGAAGTTGCCATGAGGTGCACTCTGTGTTACTAAGTATTATCATTGAGGGAGAGTCATGGGGATTAGAAAGAGAACATTTTCTTTGCCTCCTGACCTATGTTAAAATTTTCTTCTCTAATAATCCTACTATAAATGTAAAAATTCTCGAGGATGAAAATGGAGTCTTTCTTTACCTTTCTTTTTTTCTCTGCCAGAGACTCTGGAAATGGTGGATAGATAAAAGACGCTAGTTTCCAGTCTGAGGAGTTAGAGAGGAAACTATTGGGAATGTAGGCTCTGGCATGCTACCATCGAAAGACCAGCAGTAGAAGCAGCAAAGTCACCACAGCTGTGTGAGATATGAGTATGTAAGACATGTCGACACATGTAAGACACATGTCCATGTGCCAGGCTCTGGTGTAGGAAGCAATGTTTGCCATGTGTTTGTGGATTATGGTTGATTCTGCGTTTTCTTGGCACATGAGAATTCTCTGGGTGGTGGTGATGTCACCAAGATAGAGCATCTGTGGGAAAATTAAGACTGGTCAAAATAAAATTTCCGCATTTATCTGAGCGGACTGGGAGTAAGATAGGGTGCCGGTGCTATAAAACTATGTATTTTAATACCATCTAAACTCTGTGGACATTAGGAACTAGTCTTTTATCTTTCCATCTTTCTGAGAAAGACATCCATGCCTGTGCTGCCAGTATTGTGGGGAGTCTGTAGCCTATTTAGAAGAGTCAGAAATGTGGGGCCGACCCTGTAGTGCAGAGATGATGTGCTGTACAGAGGGAGCCAGATCCCGTGTGCCCGAGTAAGGTTCAGATCCCGGCCCTGCCAGCCACGTCAGGCTCGTACCCGGGGTCCTGATGGGCAGCGGAAATAGAGGGGAAGGGGTTGTGTGGGGACCAGGCCCTGTTGGAGGCTGCACTTTCTGCCTGGTGTGCAGACATGTTCTCTGGCATTGAAAAAATTAGAAATTTAGTACAAAGTGAAGAGCAAGTATTACAAAGACATTCATTCTATCTATAGAATAGGGAGATCAGTCTCTGGGGTGTCTTAAATTTGTACTTTCGAATCAGTTCTTTTTTTTTTTTTTTTTTTGAGAGAGTTTTTTTTGCTATAGGGCGCGTGTGCTCGCCAGACAGAGAGAGACATAGAGACAGAAAGCGAGAAATCACCCCCCAGGGGGGATGGTCACGCCGCAATCCCTTCTCCTCCATTCTCCTGTAGGGATCTTGGGCACGCACGCACACGTGCCCGGCACGAGTTTTAAGCCACTGGGTCCGGGACGCGAACCACAGTCGACTACATAGGAGTCCAGCGACATAGCCATTATGCTAACTGCTGGTTCCCGAATCAGTTCATTTTTTAAAAATACTTTTAAGAGTGCACACTTACTGTAAAATTCAGAAAGATGACCTGAAATCTTACTACTTAGTTGGGTAACTGCTATTGACTTTTTTAAAAAAGAATTATTTAATTTATTTATTCATTTACTTTTTAATTTGACCAGAGAGAGACAGCGAGAGAGAGAGAGAGCGAGCGAGAGAGCGAGCGAGAGAGAGAGAGAGAGAGAGAGAGCAAGGAAGTGAGAAAGCAAGCCACCAGGTCCAGGACTCAAACCCTAGTTGGCCATGTGGGAGTATCCAGCACCTTAACTACCACCCCACCTGCTGATCCCGCTATTGGCACTTAAATGAATATCCTTCCAAATGTTTTTCCTGTACATATATACATAAATAGGTGTGATTATACGGACTGGTCAGTACGATATGAACAGTTTCTCCTCACATGTTTTCATTTGCCACTGTAATTATGAACACCTTTTCATGTTAATAAATGGAGATCTAAATTAGAGTTTTAAAGAAAGATTGCATGTTCATCCGTTGTACCATTTATTTAACCAGTCCTCCTAGAAATCACACAGGATGTTTTTAAGGGCCAGGCTTGAAAGTGGCCTGGTCGCTTCTACCCACATTCTATTAATAGAATGCTTGGTTTGTGACCTACAAAGGAAGCTGGGAAAGATAGTTGTCTTTTGAGCTCAGAAAGAAAACTAATGAATGCACGTCCCCCCCTACCCCCGCCCCCCGTACACTTATCTGCCTATTTCTTAAGAATATTCTTTTTTTTTTCCCCTTCTTAAAAAATTTGTTATAGAGCACATGTGCTTGCTGGAGCGAGACAGAGAGAGGGCAAATGAGAAATCATTCCTATGAGGAGGATGGCCATGCCACAGTCCCTTCTCCAGTCTCCGCTTGTGATTTGGGCACGCACATGCGCCCGTTCAGTGAGTTGAACTGTCAAGTCGGCCCTGTGGAATCCAGCTGCCTTAACCTCCAGGCCAGCTACAGGCCCATAATCTAGTAATTCTTACTTCAGAATGTGTGCATGTGGGCCCAGGCTGTGATGGAGTGAACCAGTGGCATTGCTGCCCTGGAGGCTGAGGCCACGTGGGAGTCCAGGCTTGATTCCCGCCCACCCCAAAAATGCGACAGCAGCCTGTGCCTGCAATCCCAGTTACCTGGGAGGCTGCAGTAGGAGGATTGCAACGTAACCAGACCCCAAATAAACTTGAAGGAAAGGTCCGTTTAGAGTCCAAGTTAAATTTACTCAGATTCTTTATTTTTAAAAATACTTCCTTTTGAGAATTAGGAATTTTTTCCCACACATACTTTCATTTCACTAAGTACAAAGGGGGAAGTGTCCAGAGCCTCAACCACCACGCCACCTGCTGGTCCCTCGTGTGTTCCTTCTTTATGTTAGGATCCCGGACTTACATACCTGCGCCTGGCATGACTTTCAAACTGCAGGGATCAGGATTCAGTCTGCCACTTGGACCTGGTTCCTAAAGCACAGCACGTGATTGCTGCATGGCAGGACCTGCTGCTTATTATCAGCAGTAGTATTCTTATTGCCAGAGGATGCAAGTGCGGACACGCACACGGGAGAGAACTTTGGTGGGTGTGCTCATGTTGCAATCCTTTTCCTCCATTTCTCTATCTTGTCGGGATTTGGGGCACACATATATATACACACACAGACACATACATACATACATATATACATACATGCATACATACACACACATACCCAGAGTGTTTTTCTTTCTCTCCTTTCTTCCTTATTATCAGAGAGTGCCATGTTCTTGTCAGAGAGAGGGGAAATGGTCATGTCGCAAATCCCTTCTTCACTTCTCTAACCTCTTGTGATTTGGAGCACCACACACATGCGTTGGCATGCTTTTCAAGCTCCTAGGGCCAGGATTTGAACCATGGTCAGTCATGTGGGACCAGTTCCCTTAACCACTAGGCTAAGGGGCCAGTCCTGGAGAACTTTTCTTGCCACTAGGACTGGGATTCAAGCTGCAGTTTACCACATGGGTCCTGCTCCCTTAACCTCTGTGCTACTGAGCTGACTCTGTCTTTATTTTTAACACATTATTAGTAAATGTTTAATGCCATTACTAGTTTTATCACAGCTTACAATTTTTATAAATAAACCCGACTTAAACATGAATCGTGAGTTGATTGTATTTCTCTTAGATTTGTTTTTTAAAATGTTCAGATTGGAGCTGGCAGGTGGCATGGTGGTTAAGGGTAATGGACTCCCACATGGCTGACCACAGTTCAAGTCCCAGACCTGGAGGCTTGCTTTCTCATTTTCCTTCCCTCCCTGAGTCTCTTTCTTTCTCTCACTCTTTACCTCTCTGGTCAAATTTAAAAATAAATGAATAAATAAATAAATAAAATAATTCTTTAAGAATAGAAAATGTTCAGATTTACAGAGAGGTTAAAAACTATGGACCAGCAGTTAACATAATGGCTATGTCGCTGGACTCCCATGTAGCCGACCAAGGTTTGAGTCCCAGACCTGGTGGCTTAAACTCATGCCAGGCAGGTGTGTGTGCGTGCCCAAGATCCTAAGAGGAGAATGGAGGAGAAGGGATTGGGTGTGGCCATCCCCCCTTCGGGATGATTTCTTGCTTTCTGTCTCTCCATCTCTCTCTGTGTTTCTGGCGAGCGCACACACACTCTATAGCAAAAAACACTTTAAACAAAATAAAATAAAATAAAATAACCTCTGTGACCCTTAACTACTATACCAGAATGGCTATACTAGAAAGTTATTAATGTGAATTTAGGAATGTTTGAGCCAAAAGAAAAATATTTTTTCTCATAGAAGTGAATGATTAAAAAAAATGGGCTAGTCCTGCTATCCAGAAGTTGGATTAGTTAGCTTGTGAGGTCTCTGCTTGCCCTGAGATTCTGTAACCATTGTTTCTTAACTCTACCTCATAAGTGGATTATGCAAAGATGAGTGTTGTGTGCATGTATTAAGCATCTTTGTTGCAATACAGTTTATATACTATACTCTTCACTCATTTAAATATATACAGTTCTGGGAACCAGCAGTTAGCATAATGGCTATGTCGCTGGACTCCCACGTAGTCGACCGCGGTTCACGTCCCGGACCCAGTGGCTTAAAACTCACGCCGGGCGCGTGTGCGTGCGTGCCCAAGATCCCGAGAGGAGAATGGAGGAGAAGGGATTGCGGTGTGACCATCCCCCCTGGGGGGTGATTTCTCGCTTTCTGTCTCTATGTCTCTGTCTGGTGAGCGCACGCGCCCTATAGCGAAAATCTCTCCCCCCCAAAAAAAAAATATATATATATTACACAGTTCTGTAATTTTTAATATATTCATAGAGTTATGCAGACACCACCATGATCAATTTTAGAATGTTCATAATACCAAAAAGAAACTCCATACCCTTAGCTCCTCTCCCCCTAACTCCTCTGGCCCCAGCAGCCCTGTTCTGGCCATTTTATGTAAGTGGGCTCGTATACAATACGTGGGCTTTCATGTCCTGCTTCTCTCACTTTGGATGTTTTCAAGATTCGTCCATGTTGTAACTTGTGTTGGTACTTCATTTTTTTAATTGCTGCATAATATTATGTAGTGTGCATAAACCACATTTGTTTGTTCACTCAATAGTCGCTGTGCATTTGGGTTGTTTCTCCTTTGGGACTGTTATTAACAGTGCTGCTGCAAACGTTTGTGAATGTTTTTTGTGTGGGCATATGTTTTCATTTTTCTTGGGCATATAATGGGAGCAGAATTGCTTGGTTATGTGGCACCTTTTTTTTTAATTGCCAGAGAATGCATACTCTCAACCAGATAGCAATGGAGAGAGACAAGTCACCCCCTAGTGGGTGCCGCCGTCCCTTCTCCATCTCTTCATCCTGTCAGGATTCGGGCAGGCATCCACATGTGTCTGGAGGGTCAGGATTCACACCGTAGTTGGCCATGTGGAATCCAGCTCCCTTAACCACAAGGCCACAGGGTTGGCCCAGCAACTCTACTTTCAACTTTTGAGGACATGCCATACTGTTTTCCTAAAGTGGCTGCACCATTTCTCATTCTCATCAGCATATGCATGAGGCATTCAGAGTTCTTCACTTCCTCACCTTTATTTGTCTTTGATTGTAGTCATCCCACTGAGTTAAAGTAGTGCATGATTTTGTTTTTGCTTTGTATTCCCTGATGGGGATATATGTTTTTGGTGTGTTCCCCTCATGCTGCCTAGTTCTGAGAAGACCAGTGTCCTTCCAGAGGAGAACTTCGTTTTAAAAAAAAACCAGAAACATCCTTTGACTTGGGTATCTTTTGGTATATGATTTGTGCTAGTTGTGATTTACTCTGGCCTTGCTACATTGTAAATGCAGGTTTTTATTTATTTATTTTAAAAAATTATTAAATTTTATTTACTCATTCATTTTATTTTAATTTGACCAGACACACAAATGTCCGCGCGTGCGCGCGCGCACACACACACACACACACACACACACACACACACACAGACACACAGAGAGAGAGAGAGAGAGAGAGAAAGAGAGAGAGAAAGAAAGTGAGAAAACAAGCTGCCAGATCTGGGAATTGAACCATGGTCAGCCATGTGGGAATGTCCAGCGCCTTAACCACTGTGCCACCTGCTGGTCCCTAAATGCAGGTTTTTAAAAACTTGCTTTTCCTAAAATCAGTAATATTGTTCAGGCATATAGTTGCAGTTTCTAGTCTCCTTTCATAAAAGTTTATTCTTATCTGTGCATAACATCTCGCATGGCAAGAAGAATTCAGACACTTGAAAGTTTAATGAAACTGGAATAAAACCGTCACATGAACAGAAACCTTGTCTAGTGTTCATTGCTATGTCACCGTCACCTCTCACAGTGCCAGTATATAGAAGGCGTTAGGGAACTATTTTTGAATAAATGAATGGAAAAGAATATGCACTTTTCTCCTCTGGATCTCCAAAAAGTTTTATAATTTGTGCAGAGTAATTTTTTTTTAAACCACAGGTAAAATAATCAGTGAATACCCCATGCATTTACTTTTTCTTTTTTTTGGAGAGGTTTTTGCTATAGGGCACATGAGTTCGCCAGAAAGACAGAGACAGAAAGTGAGAAATCACCCCCCCCCCGCCAGGGGGGATGGCCACACCATAATCCCTTCTCCTCCATTCTCCTCTTGGGATCTTGGGCACACATGCACACGCGCCCGACATGAGTTCAAGCTACCGGGTTTGGGACTTAAACCGTGGTTGACTACATGGGAGTCCAGCTGACATAGCCATTATGCCAACTGCAGGTCTCATCATTAATTTTTTTTAAAAAATTAAAAAAAAATTATTAACTTAATTAATTAATTAATTAGTTAATTTAAATTTGACCAGAGAGGGGCAGAGAGAGAGGAAAAAAGAGAGGGAAAGTGAGAAAGCAAGCTGCCAGGTCCAGGACTTGAACTGCGGTCGGCCATGTGGGAGTCCAGCACCCTTAACCACTACTCCACCTGCCAGCCCCATTCCATGCATTTATTTACCAACATAAGAATTGCATAAGCAGGGCTCGACTCCACATGACTGACCACAGTTCAAGTGTTGGTTCTGGTGGCTCACTTTCTCTGTGAACATGGCTACCCTGTAGCAAATTAAAAATGTAATAATAATAAATATAATTAAGTAATTTTTTAAAAAACTGTAAGATACTTGAAATGATTTCTTTTGGATAAACTGATTAGTTTACTTAACCTAGAAGTGAGTATTATCAAAGAATAAGCCAAGAATGTTGGAACAGTTTAGTGTTTAGAAATTCTTATTTTTTCTGTCTCGGTCATATGTATTTTGTTTTAGCCGCTTTGGAGATTTATTAATGATACTGAAGACAAAAGAATCTTAGCTTACAAATCTGAAGATATCAAGAATGTTTCACGCTTGCAGTCTCCAAAAGTGTGTGGTTATTTAAATGTTGATAATGAAGAGTTGCTTCCAAAGGGACTAATAGTCAGAGAGCCACCTGAAGGTAAGACTTACAAAATGTATTTCAGAGAAAGCAGGCACATCACAGCCGTCTTCTGTAGGGGTGGCTGTTAATTAATAAAAAATGACATAGTTATCAAGTATATGTATTTGGCTTGAAAATAGAGTTTTATTCCAGAAATTTCTGAGTTTTTTTGTCTATAAGAGTTGGAAAAAAACACTAGAAAATAGTGGGAATAATAAAGACTGGACTTTTTAAAAGAATTATTTTATTAACTTTATATATATATATCTACATAGATTTAAATTTGACCAGAGAGGAACAGGCGGGGTAGGGGGGAGTGAAAAAGCAAGCCGCCAGTTCGAACTGTGGTTGGCCACGTGAGAGTCCAGCACCCTTAACCACCACACCACCTGCTGGCCCTTTTAAAGACTGGATTTTTTTATTTTTTGGAGAGATTTTCACTGTAGGGCCCGTGCGCTCGCCAGACAGACAGAGAGAGACATAGAGACAGAAAGCGAGAAATCACCCCCCAGGGGGGATGGCCACGTCGCAATCCCTTCTCCTCCATTCTCCTCTCGGGATCTTGGGCACGCACGCACACGCGCCCGGCGTGAGTTTTAAGCCACTGGGTCCGGGACACGAACCGCGGTTGACTACGTGGGAGTCCAGCGACATAGCCATTACACTAACTGCTGGTTCCCTAAAGACTGGGTTTTAAAAAAGATTGGGGAAAGGGAAGATTGAAGGAACCCTTATTTGCAGGTGTTTAGAAATGTCAAAATAATACTGTTGAAATCAATCTTTAGCATTTGTAAGAAGTTAGTTGACAGTAAGAGAGATCTGCATACCGTTTAGAAGAGAAGATGGTCGGGACAGTGCAGATTTTTTATGGTCATTTTAAAAACATAATCTAGGAGACTCATTTTTGAATACCTCAGAAAATATTAGCATTTTACATATAAATAAATTCTTGAACAGTTTGATTATTTGGTAATAACAATGTCCTGTTAAACACAGATCAATTTTTAATGTTTGACTAGCTTGACATTTTTATTGTTAACTTTGGTTGGTTATAGACTTCTGAAAGAACATGACTGACAGCTTCATAGCCTAGCAGTAGGAGAATGTTTTCTCTATTAAGTGCTTTTTAAAATCCCTTTAAAAATGAAGGAGCACTTTTCCCTTTGAATTACATCATTTCAAACCTCATGTTACTTTTCACTTTTCTGTCTTCCTTCCATTGTCTTTTGTTCAAGTTACCTTTAGAGGTACTAAGCTCAGGTGTTTGTTTCAGAGCTATATTAGATTTAAAATGTTACTATAAAACAGTCCTGTTTTGATGAATTTTAATTTAATAGTGCATACAAATTCATATTAGAGCTTGTTCGCCGGGTGAAGAGGAGAGCCGATCCTGATCCCTTGAGGAACACATGTAAATTGCTGGTGGTAGCAGACCATCGCTTTTACAGATACATGGGCCGAGGGGAAGAGAGCACGACCACAAATTACTTAGTAAGTATCGATGCGGCGTAGCGCAGTCGGACGCAGTTCATGTAGGTGGGTGAATTCCACTTAAGACAAGACTGCGATCATTTGAAACTTAATGAAAGTAGATCTGTTCAGGTGCTCTGTTATTTCCCTAAAATATTTGAGGACTGTTGACTGAGGTTCTTACATTAATTACTGCTTCACATTTATAAGCTTCACATTTATAAGAACTCATTTAACACCTTCCCTTTTTTCTTATTTGCCAAAGGTACATGTGTTTACATGTGTGAGAGCCGAGCAGAGCATGTGCTTTTGCCAGAAAGACAGAGAGAGAGAGACAGAAAACGAGAAATCCCTCCCCCCCCCCGCAGGGGGGATGGCCACACTGCAATCCCTTCTTCTCTGTTCTCCTTTCGGGATCTTGGGCATGCATGCACACACGCCCAACATGAGTTTAAGCCACCAGTTCCAGGACTCAAACCGCAGTCAACTACATGGGGAGTCCAGCGAATAGCCATTATACTAACTGCTGGTCCCAGAGTTTAGTTTTGTTAATGTGTTAAAAGAGCTAAATATTGGTCCACAACTGCATGAAATAGGTGGGATTTTTGTAGTGATAACTTACCGTAGAGCAGAGCTGTGAAAGAAAGAGTAGAGTGTTGACACGAATTTTTAAGCTCTATTATGACTTTTAAGGGAATCATTTCTATTATTCTCATTTCTTGTTGGTATGACTTCATTCGTCATGATAACTTGGCGCTGACCAAAATGTTGTTACTAAGGAAATAAAGGAGAATGCAGCTATTCATGAAGCAGGAGCCTAGTGCAGGAAAGACGTCTTTCCGTGGCTCTGCTTTCCCCATTCGCTCCATTTTGTCCACACCACCCCCCTCCCTTGACTTCCATGCCGTTCAATGAATCTATTATGTGGAGAGTAGGAGTCATGATTTTTGTTGCTAAGTAAGAGAGATTCTTTCTTGGAAGAAGCTTTTCTCTTAATCTGGTTTTGTATTAAGAATCTGCTCTTATTTTACTTATTTATTCATTACACCATCGAATACAAATGTCATGAGAGGTCTCGTTTTTTAAATTGCACTTCTTGTAAGCAAAGAACAGTTACTTAGACCTACAACTTGCTTCACAGTTGCTGGCCTAAACCTTGTCAGCCCAGATTTGAAACAGTAGAATATTTTCTTTGAGGCAAAGATAGGTAATGAGCATTTTGGTTTTTCTCATATTCTTAGTAACTGTACTGTCTCTCCTCCTAGTCCTCCCAAATCAGGTAGCAGGAGGAGAAATGACGAACTGGCCCTCATTCCTTCCGGCCCTCCTTTCTCCTACTCTGCAGTGCTGGACTTGGGGGAGTGCCATGGGGGAATAGGGTTAGCGGTTGCTCATCACTGCTCTCTACCTGTTTTGGGGGAAGGTCCTTGCCAAGAGATAGAGTGAAGACAGAATATTTCTTACAATTTTTTTTTTTTAATTTTTATTAAAGGCTATCTTTCCATGTTGCAGTCTTTCTGCCTCAGCCTCCTAACTGGTACTAAAGGCACATGCTACGACACCCGACTCTTTTTTTTAGACAGAGTCTCACTGTGTTGAACAGGCCAACGTGGAGCTCAAGATCCTCTTCCCTTGGCCTCCCCACACTGCTGAGATTACAGATGCATGCCCTCGTGCCAGGCATTTAGGCTGGACTGGGAGTTGAAGCAGAGCTGCCTCTGTGGTCCCAGCTTGCAGAGTAGTGTCTTAGCAGCACACCATTGAGGTTGGGCTGGGAATACAGTTCTTACAGGGGAATCTTTTAGGTAAATTGACTTTAAATTTTACTTTCATAGTTGACTGGAATGACAGGTTTTTTGTTTTAGAGAGAGATTTTTTTCCTATAGTGTGCGTGCACTTGCCAGAGACAGAAAGCAAGAAATCACCCCCCAGGGGGCATGGCCACGCCCCAGTCCTTTTGCTTCCAAACCCTAGTTGACTATATGTGAGTCCAGCAATGTGAGTTACGTCATCTGCTGGTCCCATGGAATGGTAAGGTTTAAAAAAACTTCTTATGTTTTAGTTTCACATAGGACTGATGACCTGAAATACGGGGTAAATTGTATGTGTTAGTTTTTATTGCATTTTCAACAGAAGTACCAAGACTGGGTGAATTATAAAGAAAATAAAGGCTTGTTTGCAAAATTCACGATTCTGGTGGCTGAAAGTCCAAAGGTATCCCAAAGTAGCGGAAGGCAGAGCCTTGAGCAGAGCAGGTTGTGATTTGTATCCTGAATTTCTTCCTACTGCTGCTCTGTGTCTCTGTGCTCTGCCCGCCTGGCCTCTTTTCCTTCCATACACACCAGAGCTCAGTCTTCGAGCCCACCTGATGACTTCCTCTCACTCCAAGGTCCCCCACCTCACCACGCAGGGATTACTTTTCACTTGCACCTTCACCAAGGCAATCAAGCCCCAGCACTTGCATTTCTTCGGGACAGCCACACCGCAGCACTGTGCCATTGCTTCAGTTCCATAACAGCACTTTTACATCTGGGGCTCAGAAGAATTTCTTTGTTAGTGATAAAGAATAACTTTTTTTGATGTGTGTCTGTGGGGTTTTTTGTTTGTTTTTATTGCTTGATTTTTTTTATTTGCCATAGGGTGCATGTGCTGAGCGGGAAAGTGAGAAATCACCCTCAAGGGGATAGCCATGCCGCAATCCCTTCTCCATTCCTTCTCTTGGCATTTTGAACATACACATACAGACATGTGCCCTGTGTGAGTTTTCAAGCCACTGTGTCTGGAACTCCAACCACGGGCAGCCATGTGGGAATCCAGCGCCTTTACCACCACACCACCTGCTGGCCCCTGTTTTATTTTTTAGACAGTCTTGCTATGTTGTAGTCCTCTTCCCTCAGCCTAAGTAGTGGGACTACAAGCATATTCCATATGCCGGCCCTGTAAGGTGGGTTGGGAATCGAACCCTAGCCTCTCATGTGGCCCTACCCTGCTGGGTAGTAGCATCCATTGAGCTCTACCTCAGATGGAAAAACAACAGTATTTCTTACTGTTGTTATATTTTGCCACAGGGGGCACATGCACTTGCCAGAGAGAAAGGGAGAAGCCAAGAAATCACCTGCCAGGGGGCATGGTCATAGGACCCCTTCTCCTCCATTCTCCTCTTGGGATTTTGGGTACGCATGCACAGGCACCTGTGTATTTTTCAAGCCACTGGGTCTGGGATTCGAACCATGTAGTCAGCCATGTAGGATGCAATTACCTTAACCACCTGGTTGACCCCAAGAATAACATCTTAGGGCTAGCTTTTATAATTAGTAGAAACTTTTGCAATGGCATTTTGTTTTAACTGAATTTTTTATCTCTGTGGATTTTATATTGCTTTTAAAAAAGTGGTAAAAATCTGCATGATGTCTTTTTCTTTTATACACACAGATAGAGTTAATTGACAGAGTCGATGACATCTATCGGAACACTTCATGGGACAATGCAGGTTTTAAGGGTTATGGAATCCAAATAGAACAGGTATTTTTCAATAGATATGGCTTATATTACACAATATGGCTTTTATTAGTAAAACTTTATATGTGATGTAAATATTTGTTACTTGTACTCAGAACTTCAAAACATAGTATGATCATAACTTAATATTCTCCAATACCAGTGATTTTTGGGTGATATATTGTATGGTGTTTTTGTATAAGTTAATACTGGGGAATGAAGCTTTTGTCTTTATAGACTTTAGAAGGAAAGACTTATTAAGCTGCTATGCTTGCTTCCTTCTCTGAATTCAGGGCCCTTTTATTCCCTGTATTTTTTTTTTTTTTTTGTCTAATCTAATTATGCCTGGAACCAGCAGGTGGCGTGGTGGTTAAGGGCGCTGGACCCCCATGTGGCCAACCACGGTTCAAGTCCCAGACCTAGAGGCTTGCTCTCTCAATATCACTCTCCCTGTCTCTCTGGTAAAACTGAATGCTATTACTACTACTACTAATAATAAAAGAAATAATAACAATAAAAAGCAAATCTATCTCTCCCCATCCTTAACTTAAAAAAAAAAAATCTGATTATGCTTAAGTATTTAGTTAGATTCCCTGCACATATTATGGAATCCTGAGAACATTTACTCAGAAATACTGTGTAAGGCGTTTGTATATACAGAATCATTAGAATATGTCCAGCAATGGTATATTAATATTGTCTTTTTTTTTAATTTACTAATTATTTTTAGGGAGAGATTTTGCTATAGGGTACATGCACTAACTAGAGAGACAGAAAGCAAGAAATCTCCCCTTGGGGGGGATGGCCATGCTATAATCCCTTCTCCTCTTGGGATCTTGGGCATGCATGTACACATGCCTGGCATGTTTTAAGCCATCGGGTCCTGGACTTGCCACAGTCGACTACGTGAGAGTCCAGTGATGTAACCATTACACCATCTGCGGGTCCCATTTTTTTAATCTTTGTACAGAGATTTTTGCCTTGTGGCACATGTGCTCACCAGAGAGAGACAGAGACAGCAAGAGGGAAAATGAGGGGCTGGCCACACCTCAGTACCTTCTCCTCCACTCTCCTTTCTGGATCTTAGGCATGCATACACGTGAGCCTGGCATGAGTCTCAAGCCACTGGATCTGGGACTTGAGCCATGATTGACCATGTGGGAGTCCAACAACGTAACTGTTACGCCATCTTCTAGTCCCTTGATTTACATTTTATAGTAAAAGGTGTTCCAAATTAGCCAAGACTGTTCTGACATTGGATATTGCTTTGGACAGATAGACATTTTGATACGTATATTATTATTGCTACTTTTTCTAGGCTCTTTGTAGTAAGCTCTATCCTTAATAGGTTCTGTATCTAGAGATTTACAGAAAATGCTTCTGAGATCATACACCATGCTAAAAATGTTAAACTTCAGTAGTATTCAGATAAAACTAAGAATTATTTTTTCCCTTTCCATTCTCTTTTACATTTTCTTTTTAAGTTATTATTTGAATAGGTAATATATTTACACAGTACAAAAACCAGTGAAAAGTAAGTCTCTGTAACTCCTGTCTATTGTCAAACCAGTTCGTTTCCTCAGAGACATCCATGTCGCTACTTTCATACATATTTTGCAGAGATGTTGTGTGCATGTAGGGCGTGTGTGCATGTGTCTGTATTTAACAGAGTGGGAGTATGCTGTGCTCGTTAGCATCTTGCTTTTTCATTTCACAGTATATTGAAGATTATTCCATACTGGTATATATAAAGCTGCCTTATTTGTTTTCAAATTGTTGCATCATGTGTGACTTTTATGAGACTAATAAATAGAGGGAACTAAGAACCAATTAGCAAACATAGGAGTAACATAGAAGATACAAACTTGAACCTTTGTTAAAGGTGGATGGGAGACTGTGGTTTAGGTGTGTAGTCAAGCAGTTCATCCCAGAGTTGGCTTGACCATCCACCACCAAAGCTGCAGGCCTGCCCTCACAGTAAGCCCAGCCTGTGGTAACTGAGCACACCTGTAGGGCCTCTGTCGGCAGCTGGGGACACCTCAAAATCACTAAGTTGAGCATGGCTTCCTTCTTTTTTAAAAAATCACTGGTCAGAAGCTTCTGTTTCTTATTTTACTTCTTACCAGGTTTAGTGGGAACTTGTCTGGCGTGCACGTGCACGGGGAAGGCCCTGTTCTTGGTAATCTTGCTCCTGTGATGTGCGTTATATTGCTTTTCATTTCCAAAGTGTTGTCCATCATTGTAAGGAATATTCAAGGCTCGTATAACCCAAATTCTCTTTTTCAAAATAAATACAGAGGATATAAAAATGTACGAGTATATTTATAACCTTATAAATAATTAAGAATCATTAGAATATGTCCAGCAATGGTATATTAATATTGTCTTTTTTTTTAATTTACTAATTATTTTTAGGGAGAGATTTTGCTATAGGGTACATGCACTAACTAGAGAGACAGAAAGCAAGAAATCTCCCCTTGGGGGGGATGGCCATGCTATAATCCCTTCTCCTCTTGGGATCTTGGGCATGCATGTACACATGCCTGGCATGTTTTAAGCCATCGGGTCCTGGACTTGCCACAGTCGACTACGTGAGAGTCCAGTGATGTAACCATTACACCATCTGCGGGTCCCATTTTTTTAATCTTTGTACAGAGATTTTTGCCTTGTGGCACATGTGCTCACCAGAGAGAGACAGAGACAGCAAGAGGGAAAATGAGGGGCTGGCCACACCTCAGTACCTTCTCCTCCACTCTCCTTTCTGGATCTTAGGCATGCATACACGTGAGCCTGGCATGAGTCTCAAGCCACTGGATCTGGGACTTGAGCCATGATTGACCATGTGGGAGTCCAACAACGTAACTGTTACGCCATCTTCTAGTCCCTTGATTTACATTTTATAGTAAAAGGTGTTCCAAATTAGCCAAGACTGTTCTGACATTGGATATTGCTTTGGACAGATAGACATTTTGATACGTATATTATTATTGCTACTTTTTCTAGGCTCTTTGTAGTAAGCTCTATCCTTAATAGGTTCTGTATCTAGAGATTTACAGAAAATGCTTCTGAGATCATACACCATGCTAAAAATGTTAAACTTCAGTAGTATTCAGATAAAACTAAGAATTATTTTTTCCCTTTCCATTCTCTTTTACATTTTCTTTTTAAGTTATTATTTGAATAGGTAATATATTTACACAGTACAAAAACCAGTGAAAAGTAAGTCTCTGTAACTCCTGTCTATTGTCAAACCAGTTCGTTTCCTCAGAGACATCCATGTCGCTACTTTCATACATATTTTGCAGAGATGTTGTGTGCATGTAGGGCGTGTGTGCATGTGTCTGTATTTAACAGAGTGGGAGTATGCTGTGCTCGTTAGCATCTTGCTTTTTCATTTCACAGTATATTGAAGATTATTCCATACTGGTATATATAAAGCTGCCTTATTTGTTTTCAAATTGTTGCATCATGTGTGACTTTTATGAGACTAATAAATAGAGGGAACTAAGAACCAATTAGCAAACATAGGAGTAACATAGAAGATACAAACTTGAACCTTTGTTAAAGGTGGATGGGAGACTGTGGTTTAGGTGTGTAGTCAAGCAGTTCATCCCAGAGTTGGCTTGACCATCCACCACCAAAGCTGCAGGCCTGCCCTCACAGTAAGCCCAGCCTGTGGTAACTGAGCACACCTGTAGGGCCTCTGTCGGCAGCTGGGGACACCTCAAAATCACTAAGTTGAGCATGGCTTCCTTCTTTTTTAAAAAATCACTGGTCAGAAGCTTCTGTTTCTTATTTTACTTCTTACCAGGTTTAGTGGGAACTTGTCTGGCGTGCACGTGCACGGGGAAGGCCCTGTTCTTGGTAATCTTGCTCCTGTGATGTGCGTTATATTGCTTTTCATTTCCAAAGTGTTGTCCATCATTGTAAGGAATATTCAAGGCTCGTATAACCCAAATTCTCTTTTTCAAAATAAATACAGAGGATATAAAAATGTACGAGTATATTTATAACCTTATAAATAATTAAAATATGCTTTTCATACCATGTGCTCAGTTTGTTTTAAACATTGAATATTCGAGCTAAAGAATTATTTTTTTTCTTTTCTTTTTTTTTTTTTTTTTTTTAGGATTTTTACTATATAGTATATGTGCTCACTGGAGAGAGACAGAGAGAGGGAACGTGAGAAATCGCTCCTCAGGGATGGCTATACTGCAATCTCTTCTCTTCTCTAGTCTCCTATCAGAATTTTGGGCATGCTCACACGTGCACTTGGTATGATTTTCAAGCTGCTGTATCTGGGGCTCAAACTGGTTGGTTGTGTGGGAGTCCAGCACCTTAATGACCATACCACCTGCTGGCCCCTAGAGCTGAAGCATTTACGGAATTCAGGTTCTAAGACATTTTTTCCTAGAATGATAGATAGTACTTTTTGAACAAATAAAATAATGCAGTATTCAGTGTCTTGTGACATTTTTTGGAAGTGTTCTAAGTATACTATATCTTTAAGTATAGATTCGCATTCTCAAGTCTCCACAAGAGGTAAAACCTGGTGAAAGGCACTACAATATGGCAAAAAGTTACCCAAATGAAGATAAGGATGCCTGGGATGTGAAGATGTTGCTGGAGGTAGGTCATGGAATCCTGGCGGTGGCACTGTTAACATCACTTGGTGTTTTCTAATGTGTGGATTGTGTCTGCATTGATGAGCATGTTAGAAAGGATGGTGGAAAACCTGGAGTCACCCACTCCGGCTGACCCAGCAGTGGCCCCATCCCCTATAGCATGGTGGACAAAACAATGGCAGAAAACTGTGAAAAAGGAAAATGTTAATAGCAGTGCTTCTTACCTTTGGGACCTTTGAGAACTAATGAGGCAAGGGGTCTTTTCTAGAAAATAGCGTCATGATTCAGAAAAGCATACTATTTTTCCACTCTTCTGTTACAACTCACATCATTTCTGTGATCCCGGAGTGTATGGAGACTTCTCTTTACTAGCTAGCAAACAGTCCTACAGTGCACAACAGCCCGGCGTCCTCCAATCCATTTGACTTCTGCTGCTACCTCCATGGGAATGTGTGAGATCCCACAGGTTGAGGGTTCAGTCTCCAAGACTGAACCCCTTCAGATGTCAACCATGAGGCCCAGATTGTTCTACCTGTGCTTTTGATGATCTGGCTATAAATGAGGGTTCTCATGACTTCCCCACTCCTTAGGTCTGATTTATTTGCTAGAGTGGATTACAGACTTGCAGAGTCATGGTTACTTGTTATATAAGAGATTTGAAAGACTGTGGAAAAAGAGCTGCATAGGGCCGGGCATGCAGCGCTTCCATGCTCTGGGTGCAACACCTCCAGGAACTTCGACGTGTTCCGCTCTCCAGAAGCTCTATGAATTCTGGCCTTTTTGGTTTCCGTTGGAGACTTCATGCATAGGCAGGAGTTGGTAATGGGTTGTTGTAAAAGACATGATGTGTTTTTCTATGGAAAAATGAGTCATTTCTTTTTTGACAACTCAGTAAGAATTCTTTTGAGTATTCTTTCCCCATCAGGTATGGAGTAGGATTCTTCTGGAATGAGGGTCTTAAATGTGGGGGAACGTTACAGTGTCTATGACTTGCCTTGGGGGTGAGTGAAAGGGACTGTCTTTAACCTCCTCTAAAGCTGCTTCAGGAACCAAAGACCAAAGGCCAAATGCTTATGGACCAGGAACAGTAGGTAGAAATCACTATCTATCTATCATCATGCTACACACATGGATGCCCAATGTATGAATTCTTTCTTTCTTCTTTAAAATTTTTGCTATAGGGTACATGCACTTGCTGGAGAGACACAGTAAAAGGAAAGTGAGAAATCACCCCCAGGGGGAATGGCCATGCCACAGTCCCTTCTCCATTCTCCTGGGATTCTGGAAATTCACGCATATGTGCCTGGTGTGATTTTTAAGCTACCAGGCCCAGGACTTGAACTGTGGCTGGCGATGTGGGAGTCTAATGCTTTAAACTACTGTGCCACTTTCTGGCCCCGATATATAGATTCTTTGCACACCATTTTCTTGACTCAGGTCTTGAGCATCTAAGTGGATTTCTTTTTTGGGGGAGGGGAGATTCAAGAGAAATTTTTTGCTACAGGGTACATGTGCTTGCCGGAAAGACAGAGGGCGATAGAGAGCTATATAACATGTGAAATCACCCATCAGGGGAAATGGCCACGCTGCAGTCCCTTTTCCATTCCCCACTTGGGATTTTGGGCACGTATGCACATGCTTCCAGCATGAGTTTAACCTGCTGGGTCCCGGACTTGAACTACAGTTGTCATAAACATTATGCCATCTACTGGTCTCTGTATAGTGTTTTTGATATAAATGAAGATGAGATTATGAAGTTTTTGTCTTTAGACTTTAGAAGGAAAGGCTTTTCAAAGAGATTTTCGCTTTGGGGCACTTGCACTCACTTAGAGAGAGAGAGAGAGAGAGAGAGACAGACAGCATCATGGTGTGAGACCCTTCAAGGATGATGTCTATATAGCACTCTCTAGAAAGAAAGAAACTTAAACCAATAAATGAGGCTCAGCAAGTGTGTTAGTTCAAGCTGCCCTAGCAAGGCACCACAGGCCGAAGGGCTTCAACAGCAGAAATTTATTTCCATGTCCTGATCTCATCTCTATGAAGAATACTAGTTGTATTGCATTAGAGCGCATCCACATGACTTCATTTCATCTAATTACCTCTGTCAAGACCCGACTTAAAGTGCAGTCACCTTCTGAGGTGACTTTGGAGGTGCTAGATTTTGGTAATAGCAGCAAGGTTCAATTACTTGCCCATGGTTAGTTGTACAGCTAATAGCAGCAGAAGTAGAATTGAACAGCCAGATCTCATGCTTTTTAGGAAAACTTCCTCCAGTGTGTTTTTAGGCGAGCTTGGGATCTTAACCCGTAGCCGGTCATGTGGCTTCTGGCCCTGCAGTCCAGTCCACTGGGTACTAGCCCACAGGGCTGGCTCTCACTGCCTTCTTCACACAGAGCTCTGTGCCCTCACATTTTAAATCTGTTAGCGGGTGCGTGTACTCACCAAAGGCAGGAGAGTGAGAAAGCACCCCCCTCCCATGGGGACTATCATGCCACAGTCCCTCCTCATGTCTCCTTTTGGGGTTTTGGGTGCACTCACATGTGTACCTGGCATGCATCAAGCTGCCAGGTCTGGAGCTTGACTGTGTAGTGACCATGTGGGATATGGGGTTGTCTAGCCATCACACCACCAGCTGGCTCAGTAGAGGTTTTTAAAGTAGTATGTGAACCTTTTATTTCATTTTAAATTTTTTTGTTATAGGGCATGTGTACTCACCAGAGAGTGGCAGAGAGAGAGAGTGAGAACTCACCCCCTGGGGGGGGATGGCTACACTGTCACAATCCCTTCTCTATTCTCCTCTTGGGATTTTGGGCATGCATGTACACACATCTGGTGTGCTTTTTCAGGCCACCAGGTCCCGGGCTTGAACCATGCAATTGGCCACTTTAACCTCCATACCACTCAATTGCTCTGAACCCCTTTTAAATTAAGGGGGAAAATAGCCTCACAGACCTGCAGTATTGATTTAAAGCTTTTTATTTTAGGAACATAAAACTGTACCTTCCTATAATTTTAAAACTCCTATATATTGTAAAGCCACAAAAAAACCTTTAACAATTATTAATGACTGGGAGAACTCTTTAAGTACTTCATAGGGATCTCTTGGCGTGTGGTGCTGTGATCTCTGTGCCAAACTGGAAGGGTTCCTGTGCTGGGTGTGTGTCTTCTGAGCAGCCTCGGAGGAGCAGTTAGTTCTGAACAACCACAAAAAGCTTCCAAACTCTTTCCTCTCTGCCCCTGGCCGCATATCAGCATCAGTTTCTCATCCATGTAGGTCAGGGGGAACCTCAGAGAAAGAGTGACATGCTGCATGAGGTTACAGCCACTGGTACAGAACTATGCTAGCCACAGAACCATTCTAGAACATTTAACTGAAACGTCTGTTGTCGGTAATTATTAATCTAAGATTTAAAAAAAATTTTTTATAAAGCAATTTAGCTTCGATATAGCTGAAGAAGCATCTAAAGTCTGCCTGGCACATCTTTTCACGTATCAAGATTTTGATATGGGAACTCTTGGATTAGCGTATGTTGGATCTCCTAGAGCGAACAGTCATGGAGGTGTTTGTCCAAAAGGTAAGCTTCCTCATCTCTTTCTTTTTTTCTCTCAAAGAATTATTACTAAATTTTTATTTATTTTAATTGACCAGAGAAAGAAAGACACACACACACAGAGGGAAAGTGAGAAAACAAGCCACCAGATCTGGGACACTAACCATTGTCGGCCATGTGGGAGTGTCTAGCACCTTAACCACCACGCCACCTGCTGGCCCTCTGCTTCTTCATCTCTCGTGTGAACATGAAGCAGGAGTAGTATGCAGACAGGGTTATAAATGCTCTTCTGCTTATGATGGGACTACATCCTGGTAAACCCATTGTATGTTGAAAATATTGTAAGTTGAAAGTGCATTTAGTACACCTAACCTACCAAATACCATAGTCTAGCTTAGCTTACTTAACCATGTTCAAAACACATATTAGTCTACAGTTTGGCAAAAGTCATGTACCGCAAAGCCTATTTTGCAACAAAGTTAGTATAGAGAATTTATTTATAGTCTGAGAGCATGTGTGCTTGCCAGAGAGAGAGAAAGCACCCTCTAGTGGGGCAGGGCCACATCATAATTCTTTTCCCTCCATTTCTTCATCACAGGATTGTGGACACACATACACATGTGCCTGGCCTGTTTTTTTAAGCCACTATGACCAGGGTTTAAACTAATTGGCCACATTGGATCTGGCTCCCTATGCACTTCATTTAACCACTGTGCCATGGGGCCAGGCCATAAAGTCAGTATGAAGAATCCAGATTTGGGGCCAGCAGTTGATGTGGTGGTTAAGGCTCTGGATTCCCACATGACTGACCGTGGTTAGAGTCTCGGACCTGGCAGCTTGCTTTCTTACTCCACCCACCCTTTGTCTCTCTCTGGTGAGTGCACGTGCCTTACAGCAAATTTTAAAGTAAGAATAGTAATAAAGATAAAAACAACAACAAAAGAAATTTTGACGTGCCAGCTCCATAGTCTGATGGTTAAGGCAACTGGGTCCCATATGGCCAACTGTATGGTTGGGGTTGGAGTTCCAGACCTAGTTCTTTAGAAACATGCTAGGCATGTGTGTACATTTCCAAAGTCCTATAGGAGAGAGAACTGGGGGAAGAGTGGTGTGATGTGATTGTCCCCATGGGGCATGCTTTCTTCTTACTCTCTCTGGCAGGCTCATAGGCCTTCTAGCAAAAAGAAAAAAAAATTATGAATTAGAATTCCAAGTATAGTTTCTACTGAATACATACTGCTTTTGTACCATTATAAAGTTGAAAATGCTAAGTGGAGCCATTGTAAGTTGGACCATGTACATTATAATTCTGTGTGTAATAATAATTTATTTCTGTTCCTTTTTACCTTTAGCTTATTATAGTCAACTTGGGAAGAAGAATATCTATTTGAATAGTGGATTGACCAGCACAAAAAATTATGGTAAAACCATCCTTACAAAGGTATGTCCTTTAGTTTTTCATTTATCTATTTATTTATTATTTTTTATTTCATGTTCTTTTATACATTCAGTAACGTTATTTAGCTTACAAAGTGAATATTCCAGCATGTGTATGTTTCTCCCTAGTCCAGTTGATAAAACTATAAAATATCTTCAACAGATAATACCACATTTCTTTGTCCCATTAATGCTTTGCCTCTCTATTTTTCTTCTAAATGTCCTTCCTCAGACTACTCTTTCAGAGCAGTGACCCAGCGTCCTTTAGTTTTTTAAAAGACTAGATTTAGAGTCGATAGTAGTAGAACCTCAGCTCCTGTATGTTTATCACGTACAGAGGAGAAGACAAATGGTCAAATGCTATGTTCTTTTGTCAATTTGATTAAAGGGCTCTACTTAAGACAGTGTAGTCCCAGCTGACAAAAGGAACTGGTGCTTGGGTGTTGGGAAATAACGTTTTCTTTTGGTGATCCTTAAGGAAGCTGACCTGGTTACTACTCATGAACTGGGGCACAATTTTGGAGCAGAACATGATCCGGATGGTCTAGCAGAATGTGCCCCGAATGAGGACCAGGGAGGAAAGTACGTCATGTACCCCATAGCTGTGAGTGGCGACCATGAGAACAATAAGGTACGTGTGTTTCAGGGGGTTTTCATGTAGTTAGCAAAGAAAGAGGCTCAGCCTTTCTCATGAGCAGAGCTTAGAGAAGTACTCCCTTCCCGTGTGTTTCCCTAGGGATAGGTTGCAAATTACAAGTACCTTGAAACCTGGGTGTGTGTTCTGGAGTGAAGCATGGCCCATCCACATCTGGTTAAAGTTATCGTTTGTGTAGTTGTTTTTTTTTTTTTAAAGTAGTATGTGAACCTTTTATTTCATTTTAAATTTTTTTGTTATAGGGCATGTGTACTCACCAGAGAGTGGCAGAGAGAGAGAGTGAGAACTCACCCCCTGGGGGGGGATGGCTACACTGTCACAATCCCTTCTCTATTCTCCTCTTGGGATTTTGGGCATGCATGTACACACATCTGGTGTGCTTTTTCAGGCCACCAGGTCCCGGGCTTGAACCATGCAATTGGCCACTTTAACCTCCATACCACTCAATTGCTCTGAACCCCTTTTAAATTAAGGGGGAAAATAGCCTCACAGACCTGCAGTATTGATTTAAAGCTTTTTATTTTAGGAACATAAAACTGTACCTTCCTATAATTTTAAAACTCCTATATATTGTAAAGCCACAAAAAAACCTTTAACAATTATTAATGACTGGGAGAACTCTTTAAGTACTTCATAGGGATCTCTTGGCGTGTGGTGCTGTGATCTCTGTGCCAAACTGGAAGGGTTCCTGTGCTGGGTGTGTGTCTTCTGAGCAGCCTCGGAGGAGCAGTTAGTTCTGAACAACCACAAAAAGCTTCCAAACTCTTTCCTCTCTGCCCCTGGCCGCATATCAGCATCAGTTTCTCATCCATGTAGGTCAGGGGGAACCTCAGAGAAAGAGTGACATGCTGCATGAGGTTACAGCCACTGGTACAGAACTATGCTAGCCACAGAACCATTCTAGAACATTTAACTGAAACGTCTGTTGTCGGTAATTATTAATCTAAGATTTAAAAAAAATTTTTTATAAAGCAATTTAGCTTCGATATAGCTGAAGAAGCATCTAAAGTCTGCCTGGCACATCTTTTCACGTATCAAGATTTTGATATGGGAACTCTTGGATTAGCGTATGTTGGATCTCCTAGAGCGAACAGTCATGGAGGTGTTTGTCCAAAAGGTAAGCTTCCTCATCTCTTTCTTTTTTTCTCTCAAAGAATTATTACTAAATTTTTATTTATTTTAATTGACCAGAGAAAGAAAGACACACACACACAGAGGGAAAGTGAGAAAACAAGCCACCAGATCTGGGACACTAACCATTGTCGGCCATGTGGGAGTGTCTAGCACCTTAACCACCACGCCACCTGCTGGCCCTCTGCTTCTTCATCTCTCGTGTGAACATGAAGCAGGAGTAGTATGCAGACAGGGTTATAAATGCTCTTCTGCTTATGATGGGACTACATCCTGGTAAACCCATTGTATGTTGAAAATATTGTAAGTTGAAAGTGCATTTAGTACACCTAACCTACCAAATACCATAGTCTAGCTTAGCTTACTTAACCATGTTCAAAACACATATTAGTCTACAGTTTGGCAAAAGTCATGTACCGCAAAGCCTATTTTGCAACAAAGTTAGTATAGAGAATTTATTTATAGTCTGAGAGCATGTGTGCTTGCCAGAGAGAGAGAAAGCACCCTCTAGTGGGGCAGGGCCACATCATAATTCTTTTCCCTCCATTTCTTCATCACAGGATTGTGGACACACATACACATGTGCCTGGCCTGTTTTTTTAAGCCACTATGACCAGGGTTTAAACTAATTGGCCACATTGGATCTGGCTCCCTATGCACTTCATTTAACCACTGTGCCATGGGGCCAGGCCATAAAGTCAGTATGAAGAATCCAGATTTGGGGCCAGCAGTTGATGTGGTGGTTAAGGCTCTGGATTCCCACATGACTGACCGTGGTTAGAGTCTCGGACCTGGCAGCTTGCTTTCTTACTCCACCCACCCTTTGTCTCTCTCTGGTGAGTGCACGTGCCTTACAGCAAATTTTAAAGTAAGAATAGTAATAAAGATAAAAACAACAACAAAAGAAATTTTGACGTGCCAGCTCCATAGTCTGATGGTTAAGGCAACTGGGTCCCATATGGCCAACTGTATGGTTGGGGTTGGAGTTCCAGACCTAGTTCTTTAGAAACATGCTAGGCATGTGTGTACATTTCCAAAGTCCTATAGGAGAGAGAACTGGGGGAAGAGTGGTGTGATGTGATTGTCCCCATGGGGCATGCTTTCTTCTTACTCTCTCTGGCAGGCTCATAGGCCTTCTAGCAAAAAGAAAAAAAAATTATGAATTAGAATTCCAAGTATAGTTTCTACTGAATACATACTGCTTTTGTACCATTATAAAGTTGAAAATGCTAAGTGGAGCCATTGTAAGTTGGACCATGTACATTATAATTCTGTGTGTAATAATAATTTATTTCTGTTCCTTTTTACCTTTAGCTTATTATAGTCAACTTGGGAAGAAGAATATCTATTTGAATAGTGGATTGACCAGCACAAAAAATTATGGTAAAACCATCCTTACAAAGGTATGTCCTTTAGTTTTTCATTTATCTATTTATTTATTATTTTTTATTTCATGTTCTTTTATACATTCAGTAACGTTATTTAGCTTACAAAGTGAATATTCCAGCATGTGTATGTTTCTCCCTAGTCCAGTTGATAAAACTATAAAATATCTTCAACAGATAATACCACATTTCTTTGTCCCATTAATGCTTTGCCTCTCTATTTTTCTTCTAAATGTCCTTCCTCAGACTACTCTTTCAGAGCAGTGACCCAGCGTCCTTTAGTTTTTTAAAAGACTAGATTTAGAGTCGATAGTAGTAGAACCTCAGCTCCTGTATGTTTATCACGTACAGAGGAGAAGACAAATGGTCAAATGCTATGTTCTTTTGTCAATTTGATTAAAGGGCTCTACTTAAGACAGTGTAGTCCCAGCTGACAAAAGGAACTGGTGCTTGGGTGTTGGGAAATAACGTTTTCTTTTGGTGATCCTTAAGGAAGCTGACCTGGTTACTACTCATGAACTGGGGCACAATTTTGGAGCAGAACATGATCCGGATGGTCTAGCAGAATGTGCCCCGAATGAGGACCAGGGAGGAAAGTACGTCATGTACCCCATAGCTGTGAGTGGCGACCATGAGAACAATAAGGTACGTGTGTTTCAGGGGGTTTTCATGTAGTTAGCAAAGAAAGAGGCTCAGCCTTTCTCATGAGCAGAGCTTAGAGAAGTACTCCCTTCCCGTGTGTTTCCCTAGGGATAGGTTGCAAATTACAAGTACCTTGAAACCTGGGTGTGTGTTCTGGAGTGAAGCATGGCCCATCCACATCTGGTTAAAGTTATCGTTTGTGTAGTTGTTTTTTTTTTTTTTTTCCTTTCTTTTTTTGGAGAGGTTTTTGCTATAGGACGCATGCACTTGCCAGACAGAGAGAGACAGAGAGACAAAAAGCGAGAAAGCAGCCCCCGGGGGAATGGCCACGCCGCAGTCCCTTCTCCTCCATTCTCCTCTCGGGATCTTGGGCACGCACGCACACGTGCCCAGCGTGAGTTTTAAGCCACCGGGTCCGGGACGTGAACTGTGGTCGACTACACGGGAGTCCAGCGACATAGCCATTACTCTAACTGCTAGTCCCTCATTTGCGTAGTTTGTAATTGAAGTTAATTGTATAGATTTGGGTTCTAAGAAAACTAGTAATAGTAATGATTTATTGGAATTCTGGGTTTCAAGGTCTGGTGGGCTCAGGTTTTATGTTAAAACTTCCTGTCAGTTCATGCACAAGTTGATTCTCATTGTAACTCCACAGTACTTCACAGTTTGCAGGTTGTCATTAACTTTTGCAATAAAACACATACTGTACTGTTTGCTAGACTTTAAGCCACATGCGGGCCAGGCACTGTTCTTGTTCACAGTGCGTGGTAGGAGCACCCGCCCGGCTCGTCATTAATATTCCTTGAGTGAATAAATGATCGATTCACTATTGAGGTTTTTGATTGAGCCTACTAGTGGATTTGGCATATTGTAAACAATTCCAGAGGCTTTCAGAGTGGCTGTGAATGAATTGTAGAGCCTGACCTAAAAGTTAGAAGTGTTAATAAGATGTCTGGCTCTTTCATTTTATCTGAAGTTAAGCAGTGTGAGAAGCTGCTGGTCCAGGACTTGAACCTTACTGGCCATCTGGAATCCAGCTGCCTTACCCTCCAGGTTACCTGCTGGCCTCACAAAAGTATCTGTTCACTGTCAATTTTTTTAAAAAGAATTATTTATTTTAATTTTATTTATTCCTTCATTTATTTTAATTTGACCAGAGAAAGACACAGGGGTGGGGGTAGGGGTGAGAAAGCAAGAAACCAGGTCCAGGACTCTTTCTGTGGCCAGCCATGTAGGAGTGTCCAACACCATAACCATCACACCATCTCCTGACCCCTCTTTACTGTCAATTTTAATTCCTTAGGACTTCAGCCCTGGAACAGAAATGATTTAAAAAAAAATGAGCTCACAGATTTGCAATGGTGCAAATAGCCCCCCCAAAATACCACTGCCCTGGATTTAAAATAACCAAACCCCTTAGATGTATTTCCTGTAAAAACAGATTGGAAGATCTTTTTTAAAAATCTTGGTAGTGGGACCGGCAGGTGGTGTGGTGATTAAGGTGCTGGACTCCCACATGGCCAACCATGGTTTGAGTCTCGGACCTCATTTACTTTCTCTCTCTCACTCACTCTCTATCCCCCATTCTCTCATCGCTTTAAAAAAAGAAAAAAAAAAAAAAGCCCAAGTAGTAATTCTGTTTGGGGTGAATCGGCCTTTAAGATCTTTCTGAGAGTCGCTCCTTTGGCATCTGATGCAGAGGTTACAGTTGCCGTTGAAAGGTTCCTGCCCTCTGCTCTCAGAGTCTTTGTGACTATGGTCCGGGAAAGCGAACCATTCTAGCACCTGCAGACCTGAAGACCCTCCCCCAAGAAATAACCACACCCAGTTTGCCCAAACGCTTTGCCCCCCTCTCTTCATTTCAGATGGTCTGAAAAATGGGCTCAGCTTTTGAGTTTCCTGATAAGATCCCAGACGTAAAAGGGGGCTGTTTCAGTGCTTCTGTACTCCTAGTCAGGAGCCGGAGAGAGACTTCCTTTGAGACACAGTCAACTGTAGAAAACCCCAGAGTAACCTTACAGCTTACAGACCTATGAAAAGCTTTAGGTTACAATTGGGAATTCATTTTTTAATAGGCTGTATATAATAATATGCCTCTTATTTAGCTCAAATATTTAAACTTTAAACATGGATCTTCCACCTAAATAGCCAGGGAGAGGGAAGGGGGAAACCAAGAAGCACGCCTCCTTCCGCGTCCCGAGTTGTCATGTCTGGGCAGAGGAGGGTCTGAGCCTGATTCTCTTAGCACTGAGGCAGTGGCACGCCTGGGTGAGGGGCGGCAAGGGGAGAGGGGTGAGATCCACAGGTCTCACTTGCGCTAGCCTGCTTGTCCCCTGATGGCGCTGCTGGGATGTTTATACAGCCTGCCTTCCTCCGATGAGTTTAGGTCCTTAGCCAAGTTCATACCGGCCACTCAGCACCCTGCAGAGGGAGTCCTCCTGTGGCGCCGGAGTGACTGACAGCCCTGGCCTCACTGCGGTGGCCCGTGTGGTCTGTGTAGTAGATTCCCTCCTTCGAGAAGAAGCACAGACACTACATGGGATGCATTTTCATGTCGTTTTGGTCCTTGTGGCCTTTTCTTCTCGTAGATGTTTTCAAACTGCAGTAAACAGTCAATCTTCAAGACCATTGAGAGCAAGTCCCAGGAGTGTTTTCAGGAGCGCAGCAACAAGGTGTGTGGGAACTCCAGGGTGGACGAGGGCGAGGAGTGCGACCCAGGCATCCTGTACCTGAACAACGACACCTGCTGCCACAGCAACTGCACGCTGAAGCCGGGGGCCCGGTGCAGGTGAGGGGCGGCCCATGTGGGGGTGGGCTCCCGGTCGTCCCTCAGAGAGACTTGACCTGCAGGGACTTTGAGTCAGCTAGAGTGCGTGTGTCAAGGGTTAACTCTGGGCTCTTCCCAGAAGAAAACTGCCTTCCGAAAAGCTGTCAGAGCTCAGGTAGCGAAATCCTTGACCTGGCATGCTCTCGGTATGGCAGTCATGGTTCAGAGACTCATTACGGAAGCAGAAATGTAGTAGAAGGGTGATTTAACAAAGATGTTCATGGCTATTTCCTTTCATAATGCAAAGTATTAGAAACAATTGAAATGACCAACATGCGATAAATTACGTATCTGTACAATAGATAGCGTTGTGAAATACTGTTTAATGACAAGCTAAACCTAGAGGAAGCAGATTACAAATTAGATATTTCCACTCATCCATCCGCTGACACACCTGTGCTAGGCTTAGAAGTGGAGTGGGATACTGTAGCTTATGATAAATGTTTTTTAATTAATGCATCAAGTTAATGAAAGACGAGGACACTGTGATGTTTTGAAGATGACCACTCTGGAGCCAGCTGGCGGTGTGGTGTTTAAGCTGGCTAGACCCCACATGGCCAACTGTGCAGTTCAGGTCTCAGACCCAGCAACTTGAAAGACACACTGGAAGCGCGTGTGCATACCCAAAATCCTATGAGGAGACTGGAGGAGAGGGGGCTTTGGTGTGATCATCACCCCCAGAGGGTGCTTTCTCACATTTTCTCTCTTTTTCACTCTCTACTGAGCACGTACACCCTATGGAAAAAAAAAAAAAAGACCACCCTGTACTTCGCCTCTCCTACTCATGTGTGGCACTGGCAGCTGGCATTGCAGTCCCCATTGAGGAAGGGCCAGGCCACATGGAGGTCTGATGTGCAGGAGCAGGTGACTCAGCCAAGGGGTCTTCCCTGCAGTCTCTGCAGACCACTGGGACGTGGCTGACCCATTTGATGTGGGGTTGCCATTTAGACTGACCTGTCCCTGTCTGCTCTTCTACAGTGACAGGAATAGCCCTTGCTGTAAAAACTGTCAGTTTGAGACTGCCCAGAAGAAATGCCAGGAGGCTATTAATGCTACTTGCAAAGGCGTGTCTTACTGCACAGGTATGAACTCCTACCAGGGTGCTTGCAGCCCGCGGCTCGGGTGTGTGCTTGTGCATGTGTGCGTTTGCACAAAACACTATGTTTTCCTTCAGGTAGATGCCCCCCCCATTGACCTTGTGTGCAGAGCTGAATTTGTTGTACCTTAGTTAGTGGCACCCTTGTTGGCGTGAGCAAGACTTACTACTGTTTTCTGTTTTTGTTATTTGTCCTCCCTTTCACTCCCAGTACTCTCCTCTCTCCCCTCAGGTGCTCGTTCTACTTTGTCTAGTGTTTGGCTGGGTACGCGTGTGTCCTTGGCAGATACTGCAGTGTTGTTTTGTGTATGTATGTGTTCTAATGTGCCAAAATGTTAGTCTGCCTTAGATCTACTTTTTACAAATTTGGAGCCTTGTTTTCTTTTTTTCTTTTTCCTTTTTTTTTTTTTTTTTTTTAAGAATTATTTTAGTTAACTTTTTATTTTAATTTAACTAAAGTGAGAGAGGGAAAGTGGGAAAGCAAGTTTCCAGGTCCAGGACTCGAGCCAAGATGGGCCATATGGGAGTCCAGCACCCTTAACCCACGCCACCTGCTGGCCCTGGTGCCATGTTTTCAAGCGTTATCTAAATCGTGTGGCCCGCCTGTATCTGGGCATGGTGCTTTTGGGCAGGTCTCTGGTTGTGTGATTTACTGTAATTTATGTGCTCGTTCACCATGTGGTAGCAGTGTGGACGGGCAACTCCCAGGTGGAAGGGGTAGCAGATGTTCACGTTCTGAGGCAAGACCAGCCTTAGCGTGGACTGCAGCTTCAGCAGAGTGTCCCAGGAGAGTAGCACCCAGCATTGGGTCAGCGGCCCGGCCGTGCAGCTTTGCAAGGCTTCCCAGGGATCCTGTGTTTGTTCTGAGTAGTGGTGCGTGGTGCCTGATTATTGGTGAGAATAGTACATATATATGTCACATAAGTACTATATTTTATATTATGTTTCCCGGTGAAGAGGAAAGAGAAAAACACATAAACAACCTTGAACAGTGGCTGTGAGATGTGCAAGTGGAGACCAGGGCCCTGCCCTTCAGGGGTTGGGAGGCCAGCGTGGCCGCAGGAGGCACTCCCTAAGGGCTGACCCGATGCGAGATACTGTCCCAGTTCTGTGGGTCACTTCTAGCTGCATGCAAAGTGCCCACTTTGCTTTCTGAGTTACAGCATGTCGTGTACCTGTGGAGCCGGCAGGCCTGGGGCTCCGTGTGCTGATGGTCTTTGCTTCCAGGTAATAGCAGCGAGTGCCCGCCTCCGGGAAATGCCGAGGACGACACGGTGTGCCTGGACCTGGGCAAGTGCAAGGATGGGAAATGCATCCCATTCTGCGAGAGGGAGCAGCAGCTGGAGTCCTGTGCATGCAACGGTGAGTATGGCTTCCTGCCGCTCCTGCAGCCTTGCTCCGCAGTCCTCTCCTGCTTGTGGAGGCCAGGAGTGTCAGCCCCGCCCTGTCGCCATGGCCATCATGGCCATCATGGCCGTGGGAAGAGGTGGGCGAGGGCAGGGGTGCTTGGAGACAGGCACTGATCTGATCTTGGCCCCTACACCTTCCCTGTGCTGTACACTGTTGTGTTGGTCTCTGTCTTCCTGCCATATTTTCAGACCACATAGCAGGCTTTAGGGGGAAGAGGAGGGCATTTTGTGGATGGGTAGAGGCCTGTCCTTGCCCCTATGTGACCAGGAATGCAGTGGTAGCTGTCTGCGTGCCAGTGGCATTGACCTGCGGTACCCCTTCAAGAACTCAACCAGAGAGAGTGTTTCAGTGCAGGCACCACTACGACGTCAGGCCTGGTGCCCTGCGAGCAGGGCTGGGCCTGCTCCTCTCGGTCCCTGCAGAGCAGACGGGGCAGGCCAGAGTCTACTGGCCTCTCCAGCAGTTTTCCTCATTCTGTTTTTGGAACCCTTGGCTCTGAGGGGTGCCCAGGGACTGCAGACTCTGTTTCCCACCGTGCTTTAGCCATGGGGTGGAGGAGTTGTTGAAAACATTCTGTTGCTTTCAAAGTAGACAAGAGCCAGTAGTTAAAAATTGCTGGGTTGGGAGCCCACTGTCCACACAGCAGGGTAAGACACTCTTCAGGTGGAGTGACTTGTGAATGAAGAAGAAAACATAATAATTTATTGAATGAGTGGCAAGAGACTTGGGGTGCCCTGGAAAGACAGAGCCTTCCACACAGTGAGTGCCCAAGATGTAATTTATAACAGACTTTTCTGTGTACATTTTTTTTTTTTGAGAGGTTTTTGCCTTAGGACACATGTGCTCATTGGATAGAAAACTGAGACAGTGAGAAGGAAAGTGAGAAATCACCCCTTAGGGAGGGATGACCACATCGCAATCCCTTCTCCTCCTTTTTCCTCCTGGAATCTTGGGTGTGCACACATACACACCTGGTGTGATGTTCAGGCTGCTGGGTCTAGGACCACAGTCCGCCATGGGGAGTCTGGTGACGTAATCGCCACGCCATCAGTTGGCCCCATGGGAAAATTGTTCTTAACCTCTGACCTCTTAATTCTGAGGGCTGAGGATAGAAACTCACAGTGTTTTTTAGCGAGTGAGTATGTCTTGCTTTTGAAATAAATAATAAGCGGGATTTCTTGCCTCTGTGGGCATGTGGTCAGGGAGGCCAGCAGGTGTGGAGAGGGCTGTGGTGCGAGTGTGGGTCTCGTTCCAGAAACTGACAACTCCTGCAAGGTGTGCTGCCGTGACCACGCCGGCCGCTGCATGCCCTACGTTGATGCTGACCAGAAGAACTTATTTTTGAGGAAAGGAAAGCCCTGTACAGTGGGATTTTGTGACGTGAATGTGCGTATGTATTTATTCTTGCCTTTTCTTGTGGTACAGACTAGAAAGGTTTTGTTTGTTTTTGTTTTTTAACGAGTTTTTGCTGTAGGGCATATGCACTCACAAGAGAGAGACAGAGACAGGGAGAGAGGGAAAGTGAGAAATCACTCCCTGGGGAGATGGCCACACTGCAGTTCCTTCTCCTCCATTATCCTCTTGGATTTTGGGTACGTGCACATGAGCCTGGCGTGATTCTCAAGCTGCCGGGTGCAGTGCTCAAACCGCAGTTGGCCATTTGAGAGTCCAGCACCTTAACCACCACGCTACCTGCTGGCCCTAGACAGGAAGTTTTTATACTGTTCAGTATTTGGTTTTGCAAGTGGGAGGAAATCAAACAGAAGTGCTGCCACATCTTTGTTAACCCCTTGGTTCTCCTTCGCGGTCTCTAAGAAGAGTGTTGTGGGCATTACGGGAAAGGCCAAGCGCGTCCTCGGGCTGCTGGGGCCTCTCCTCTCCATCATGGGAGATAGAGCCCAGAGGGAACTCGATGGTAAAGTTGGTCGGGTGCTAATTGCTTTCCTAAGATACTGGCAGAATCCACAAGGTCAGGAATGGCCCCGCAGTGCAGAGCAGCAGTTGGGTGCTGTGCACAGGGAGCTGGATCCCAGGCCGAGCTCGGTTGGAGTTGCTCTGGTGTACACCTCGGATCCTGACAGGATGGGAACCTGAAGGAAAAGGATTGGGGCGTTTCCAGGCTCCATTGGGGTTACTTTTCTCCCTGCCTCTCTCGTGTGCATCCATGTACCCTCTAGCATAAAAAATAGACTAAAAGTGCAAAGTTGTTCAAGGTGTGACTTTTAAAACACATATTGAAGAAGCAGGAAAATCCTTGGAGGTCTTGCCTAAGTCAGACCTTTTTGTTCTTCACAGAAGCATAATTTTACTCATGCAAAAATGTTTCACGGTTTAGAGAGACTTCTCAGGGAGCCTGGCTGTGTGCGATCAGTATTGTCCTCACCGTGTCGTGTCTTCTATTGCTGATTCTTTTTTTTGGTCTTGTCTCCTAGTAATTCTAAATCCACTTATTTTTAAAAGCGGGCTAATTGTGAAAGTGCAGTGACCATATATCCCACTTTCCTGGGTACTCATTTCCACTGAACGTCTGGCTTTAGTTATTTGTGTAAAGCCACGCCAGTTCTGAATGCATTCTTTCTTTGCATGTGCTGTGTGTGCACAGGGCAAGTGTGAGAAGCGAGTGCAGGATGTAATCGAGCGCTTCTGGGACTTCATTGACCAGCTGAGCATCAACACTTTCGGTAGGTGTTCCCACAGGCCGCTGACACAGAACACTGGGAAAGCGTGGTGTCGGGGGCATGCTCAAAACCTGCAGCCCGAGATGGAAGTGCTCACCGCTTGTGTCGAGATGGCTGTCACTTCGTCAGCTGGGATTCTGGCCAGGATGGAATCGACTGGTTACAGTCGTCCTGTGTGACACGGGTGCAAAGACTTCAGACGAGTGAAATACTTAGTCAAAATATTGCTTCCTTTACTAAAGGACATGTGAGAGTGTAGGCCTGGGTCAGTCCTGCAAGTCTGAATCCCGTTTGGTAGGAGTTGTTTATTTAAAAGTAGATTCAGAATTTGTATAAGCAAGGGTATATTATGTCCCAAGAGTTGTAGAGTTCTTAGTCACAAAAATAATGGTATCCAGATTCCAGAAAACTGTGTAATCAGGCGGTCGTTCCTAGTAGTGACCGCGTCCTCTGATCTACTGACAGTTACCCGGGAGCGCAGCGAGTCTCCCACCCGCAGCGTCCAGGGCTGGTTCTTGAAAAGCACTTGCTTGTGTGGAGACAGCTGGGTCTGATGTGGCGGCATGGATGCTTCTCTCGGTCCCGAGTTGGGAGTAGGATCAACCTGCTGCTCTGGGCCATTTGCACAATAATAATATTTTAAGAGTATTTCATAGGAGATTTTTTAAGTGCTTGGTTACAGCATTCACTGTTTTTGGAATTGTTCACAGGGAAGTTCTTAGCAGACAACATCGTAGGGTCCGTCCTGGTTTTCTCCTTGATATTTTGGATTCCTTTCAGCATTCTCGTCCACTGTGTGGTAAGTGACCACTTTTTAAGTAATTAAGCGTTTTATTAAAGTAGGGAACAATTTCAACCCTGTATGTTTGGAAAAGATAACATTTGTTCTTAAGTAGGTCTGACCTGATGCTCTCCCCGTGACATTCCGGGTGTTATCCAGGACAGTGTGTCTTGTAGAAAGCTTAGCTCATGGTCTTTTAAAAAAGGATTGTGCTTTTTGTGTGTGGGTGTTTTATTCTACAAGAACATGGTTTCTGAAGGATTTTTTACTTCCGAGCACAATAGACTGTTTACCTGGATTTGCCTAGGACCTCTGTTGAGTAGAGCTTCTAAACGAGCATTTTCAGGCCACTTTTGTTGTAATGGAGCAAATGTCAAACATCCACTTTTCCAAGATGTTACCCATATACTCTGTCGGTCCTTGGCATTATAAATTCAGGTCTGGAGGCCAGCAAATGGCTTAGCAGTTACATTGCTGGATTCCCACATGGCTGACAGTGGTTTGAGTCCTGGACCAAGTGGCTTGAAAATCACACTGGGGGACCAGCAGATGATGTAATAGGTACATTGCTGGACTCCCACGTAGTCGGCAGTAATTCCCAGACCTGGCCGCTTAAAACTCAACACATTTGCATGCGTGCTCACAATCCTGAGAGGAGAATGGAGAAAGGATTACAGTGTGGCCATCTCCCCTGGGGGGCGATTTCTTTCTTGCTTTCTGTGTCTCTGGTGAGCACAAACTCCCTATAGCAAAAATTTCTCTAAAAACAAAGGAAAAGAAAATCACGCTGAGCACGTTTGCATGCATTCCTAAGATCCCAAGAGAATGGAGGAGAAGGGATTGTAGTGTGGCCATCCTCGGGGGGGTGGGGGGGGCTGATTTCTCATTTTCCCAAATCCTAACAGGCCAGACAGCAGTGGGTTGTGGTGTGACCACACTCCACTGGGCAGTGCTTTTCCTTGTCTGTCTCTGGTCAGCACACACACACGCCCTCTGGAAATTATAAAAATAAGAGGGCCAGCCTGTGGCCTGTGTTTAGGGCAGCTGGATCCCACATGGCCAGCCATGTTTTAGTCCCTGCCAGGCAGTGCATGTGTGCATGCCCCAGATCTGGACAGTGGGATAAATGAAGGGACTGTGCTATGATCATTCCCCATGGGGGGTGTTTTCTTGCTTTCTGTCTCCTGTGAGGATGAGCACACATGCCCTCTGGCAAATCTAAAAACATACAAGATAAAACTGATATAGGTACAAAAAAATTGGACTTGAATCTTGGCTTTTCTGTATTTAATGCTAAGAAACATTTCCTTTGAGTACCAAGTTAACACTTCCGGACTATGAAGCTTGCATGAGAAATGGCTTCTCATCTATTGAATTTGTTGCCAATTTCTACAACTAAAGTTCCTGATATGAGAGGAAGGAGCACTTACTCTTTGGGTTTTATGTGTAGAACTGACCGCTTTTTCTATTCTTCTGTGCCAGGATAAGAAGCTGGACAAACAGTATGAGTCTCTGTCCCTGTTCCACCCTAGTGTAAGTGTACCCTCTGAGGGAGAACGTCCCTGTAGGGGCGCCATGAGGCCTGCCCTCAGCAGTACTGACCTGCACTCTTAGCCTGAGTGTTGTACCTCCGGGGCTGGGTCCTGCTGCAGCGGGAAGGGTGAGGAGAGGAGGCTCTCCTGCCCAGGGCGGGGGTGCTAAAGAGGGGAGGAGTGCTGTCCTGCCTGTTCCATGGCCTCGAGGACTGGCCTAGCTGTTCATCACTGACTTGGTTAACATTTTGTGATCTTTTCCCGAAGTCTCGGGGCCTTAACTTGATAACTTTGAGTTCTCTTTTGGATCATCAAATAATTACCTGTTGAGATGTTTGAAAGCTGTTTGAATTACTTAGGTCGAAGGAGCCTTACCTGGCGCTTCCCTTAGCACTGGGGCTCCACGGGCTGACAGTAGGAGGCCTTTGGATGGGCAGGGGTGGAGCTGTGAGGGCGTGAGGGCCTTTGATTCATCTCTTCCCCATCTTGGACCCATGTCTTTCCAGAATGTGGAAATGCTGAGCAGTATGGATTCAGCCTCAGTTCGCATCATCAAGCCCTTCCCCGCACCCCCCACTCCAGGCCGTCTGCAGCCCTTGCAGCCTGCCCTGGGGATCCCACCAGTGCCTGCAGCCCCAAAGCTGGACCACCAGAGAATGGACACCATCCAAGAAGACCCCAGCACAGACTCACACGTGGATGAGGAAGGCTTTGAGAAGGACCCGTTCCCCAACAGCGGCACGGCTGCCAAGTCGTTTGAGGACCTCACAGACCACCCAATCACCAGAAGTGAAAAGGCCGCATCCTTTAAACTGCAGCGGCAGAACCGTGTTGACAGCAAAGAGACAGAGTGCTGATGTGGGCCGCGCTCTGAGCTCTAAGTGTGCAGGTATTTGTCTGGCTTTGACCTGAGATCCCAGCGCGTGTCTTGTGAAGATTTGGGAGAAGCAAGGAAGGGGTTTACAGCAGATGCTGGTCACATGCCTGGACCGCCGTCCTTCGCATCAGTGCGTGTGTGGTCAGACCCTGTTCCTGGAAGAGGTCAGGTGAATCTAGCTTATTTTGAGGCTTTCAGGGTTTTGTTTTTGTTTTGTTTTGTTTGCCTTTAAAGTATCCTTCAACCTGTGGTGCAGAAGCAGAAAACTACAGCTGGGTTAGGCTGTGATCTTTACATTTTTGTAAATTAACCTTTTATACTGGTAATAGCACTGATTAGGGGGATGATCAGTCTTTCTTTTTATACACTGTAATGATCTATGAGCATAATGAAGCATTTAGCAGCTATTCGTCAGGACAACTGGAACACAGTAATTTATTTCCTTTGCCTTTAAGGGAAGACTAGGGAGATAAACCTAGTTGTATTATTTCCAAAATGTGGGCGCTTCTAGGTATTACCCAGAACTTTTAGCAGCAGGGAAAATTTTAATCTGACCATAGAAAAGAGTTTGTGTTACTATGACTCTTCATAATTCTAAGGTTAGTACTTGGTAGAATTAAAATAAACTCGCTTATCGTGAGGGTTACAAATAGTAACCAGTTGAATCTGTAGAATCCTGCTGACTGCTTAAGGCCTCCATTGACTGGGCAGAGTTTTGTTTCTAAGTAGCTTCATGTCCCTAATCTTGTTGCAAGCTCTTAATTTCCCTGTCTGCAGACCTCATCAGGGTGTGATTAGGAAGACTGCGGTGTTTGCAAATGGTAGTGGACAGGGGTCAGATGCTCTCTACCACGCCAACAGGCTGTTTGGAGGGTGATGCGCAGTGAGCCTGCCTGCCTGGGCTGCGATTGCCCTGTGGGACAGACTCCAGAAGCCCCCCGGCACCCACCTGTGGGTCTGCATCACCCCTCGCTTTAGTGCTTGAGTGCGTCAGGGCTCCGCATGGCCCGCACTGACTGTGTGAAGGTAAAAGTCGCTAGCCAGGATTCTGTTCCACACAATTAGAGGTTTAAAAGCGTTTTCCTGAGAACTGCAATGTGTTCACCAGGCGAGTCACCTGAACTGAGATGACTTGTAAAGGTCACAGGCCATAAACTGACCCTGTGACGAATCATGGCTCCGCAGGGCGTTCCTTGCGCAGATACCTGTTACACTAATACTTGAACTTGTACCTTATGGTATTGGCTTTTAACCAGTCATGCTATTCTTATATTTCATTTACACTTTTGAAATTTGATGAGGTGAGTGGGGTGTATTGGGTGTATGTGTGAAACAGTTCTCAGAATGTAAGAAAACCATTTTTATAAAATTGTGACTTTTTAAAAAAACAGTTGTTCTTACCCTTTTTTTTGCCATTTATAGAAATTAATCTGCTTGGGGTATATTTTGTAGCCATGGCACTGATGGTACCTACAATCAATAAATGTTCAATACCAACACAGAATGAACCTACTTAACAAGCTTCCCTGAAAAATCCTATTTTATTCATATTGGTAGCAAAGGGTAATTTTTTTAACAGTTTTTTTTTAAAGAATTATTTATTTATTATTATTATTTCACATGAGTTTGGTCAGAGAAAGAGAGAGAGAGCACGCACACGCAAGCCACCAGGTCCAGGACTCAAACCATGGTCAGCCATGTGGGAATTCCAGCGCCTTAACCACCACACCACCTGCTGGCCCCACAAAGGGTAATTTTTTTTGATCCATGAACCATGAGCAAAGGTTTAAGTATGAGGAAAAAAAGCGCTTGCTCTGCCTCCTCGGCGGAGGACGACCAGGACTCGGCTCTCACGGCTGCCTAGTGGTCTCCGTCTCCCAGCAGACTCAGCTCGGGCCGTGCTTCCTCCACGTCCCGCCAGTAAGGAAGGAGCAAGGGCAGAGAAGCGACCTTCTTCTCCACCAGAGGCCAGAGCTGTGAGAACAGAAAGTCATTTCCCTTTGGCGATAGGTGGAGTCCGTCTGACAGATAGGACGAGAAATCCTGTAGGGAGGAGGAGCTCCAATTAAGCTATGCTTTTCTCAAGGCCAGCGTGTGCAGTGTGGCCCTGCCCAAGGTCAGCAGCGCCTCCGCCCAGAGTGCTCTGGGACTACAGTGGCGTCTACGTGCTGCTCACGCAGGTGCTCGGACCTGCCTCACAGCACAAGGCCGACCGGCTCCTCGAGGCCGCTTCTCTAGAATAGCCGGGGTGGGTGTGGCCCTCTGGGTAAGAACCTGGCTACCCAGCAGTCTTCTGTCACTGTGGGGACCAGCTTTTCACCATCACACTTTCAAATGGGCTTTCTGGTTTTAAAACACATTTTAGTAATTTAATTAGAACTACACTTCAACCTGGATCTTTTTTTTTAAGAGAGGTTTTTGCTATGGGGCGCTCACCAGAGAGACAAAGACAGAAAGTGAGAAATCACCCCCAAGAGGAATGGCCATGCTGCAATTCCTTCTCCTCCATTCTCCTCTCAGGATCTTGGGCACACACACACAAGTTTTAAGCCACTGGGTCCGGGACTCGAACCACGGTTGACCATGTGTGGGTCCAGCGACCTAAGCATTACCCCATCTGCTAGTCCCCAACCTGGATCTTACTAGTGAGTACTGTATTTTACTTAAATTCATTGTTCTGCCTGTTAGTGGGTTGTAACCTGACCCCACTCCACATATAAATAACCTCGACTGGTCATCTGTGCCCGTGTGTCCAGCTCCCAGCCGAGGACCCGCTGGCCCAGAGCCTCTCCACTGCTCTTTCAGCTCCCACCTCTTGGTCTTCATTGTGAAAGGGACGGCTGCCTTCGCTCAGCAAAGCCCCCTAGGGGTGGCTGCACACACCTGGTCACTGCTGTGACCGGGTACCCATTGTACCTGGTTGTCCTGCTGCATCAGGGTCCACAGGTCAAGCACGTCCGTCCCACAGTCCTTGGCCACTTGCAAACACGCATGGGCATATTCTCCAACAACTGAGTTCAGGCGATTTAATTTGCATCCTATGGAGAGAAGAAACCAAGATGAGGCTGGCAAGCCTGCTTGCAGGTCCCACGCTGGTCCCACAGACCTGGCGGCTGCTGTGTCCAGGAAATCTGAAACTGTGTGGGTGAGGCTTGAGGATGACCACAGCGGGTCTTGCGGGTCCCTCCTGTGCTGCAGAGGGCACGGGACAGAGGGAAGGAGAGGGAGCCCTCGGGCTGCCTGGAGCCTGCTGAGGATGGCTTTCTAGGGACCAGTCACCAACACGGCCCCCCACGCTTTTTCTCCTCTTTTAGATGGACTACTTGAGGGTGCAAAGAGGAAAGGGCAGTTTCAGAATTTTCTTTTGGGGAAACTTGAACAGGAAGGAGTTAAACAGCTCCTGCGGACAGGCACATGCTCTTTGGTGAACAGCTGTGGCGCCAGACCCAGCCATGGCGTCCGGAGTGGTCTCTGGCAGAGCTTCGGGCCCTGTTCTCTGGGCCTCCGGCCTCTGCAGCACAGAGTGGTCGGGAATCTCACCACACAGCTCCCCTCGTGGCACCACAGCTGAGCTCCTCCTCCCAGTCTGTGGCACCCCAGTGTGTGCCCCCCCACACTCTGACCTGAGCATCACTGCCTTCCCCGCTAGGGCGGAGGGCAGAGGCATTCCAGCTCAACTGAAAGTGACTGGCCGCAGCCAGTACCGGGTCTTGCCACGTCAGACTTCCTGGATCAGATTCCTGGCTCTGATGCTGTGTGACCTGGGGCAAGTTACCTAACCTCTCTTGAGACTGAGTCTCCCCATCTGTTGAGGAGGACGATAAGCATCTTCCATTGTGCTGTGTAATGTGTACTGTGTAAGGAAGCTCTAGTGCTTAAAATGGGCCCAGGAGCCTACCCGCAATAACAGCTCACTGAGTCAGACTGGCCCGAGAAACAGCTGTCCTGGTCGCAGAGCCACTGGACTCCGTAACCTGTTCCTGAGTTCCGGGAGTGCAGAAAATGCCATGACCCATGTGCGTGTCAGCACGAGGGGCCATTTCTCGGGATCTGAAGGCACCTTTACAGAGAGGTACAGTGCAGGTGTTTCACCACTAGGCTGTTCTCCACATGCCACAGAAGAGGCGCAGTGAGAAAGGGCCATCTTGCCCCCGGGCACCTCCCCTGCTGTGAAGTCAGGACCAGTGTCCCCAATGCAGACTTGGAGTCAAGGGCAGCCCCAGCTGCGGCCACACACTGTGCACCGCAGTTCGCCTGCCTATGCTCACTGGGGTCCTCTGCATGCCAGTGGGTCACGCGTGCCCGGGAGCTGGCAGCTGGTCAGCGCGCAGGCCAGTGCATGCTCCCTGACCAGGCTGAAGCCGGCTGCCCCTGCTGGGCCAGAGTTCTCCAAGGCCGGCTGCAGTGGCGCACGTGCCGAGGCCAGGTGGACCCGACCCGGTTTCTCCTGAGATTGCCCTGTGTGCACAAGCTTCGTGCATATTTGCCCTCGATCCTGGTGGGTTGGGTGGATTACAGGTCAGGACCCCACAGGAGATACCACCCCAGAAAGTTAACACACATTCTGTAAGGTTCTCAGATATGGCCACCGCTAAGATGCGGGGGCTCTCCCCACCGGGACCACACAGGAGATCCCGGTTTGATTCTCAGCGCGACCCCACAGCCCGTGCAGGGGCGCTTGCCTATAATCCCAGCAGCGTGAGGAGGCTGACACAGGAGCTGGCCGTGGCAGGACCTGCCTTCATAAATAAACGCTCCAGGTACGACCCGGGAGCTGTACTTGGCTCTCGCTTCAGGTGGCTGGGAACGGTCTAGCCTGTGTTGACCAACCCGTGACGCAGGCCCGCCATGCGCATGGTTTACCTTGCGCGATGCACTCGTGTTCCCAGGCTGGCTCACAAAGCGGGGGCGGCGTGATGAGAATGACCCGATTCTCAGGGACGTCCACAGACTTCAGGTACTGCACCATGCTCTTCAAGTTTGCGACATACTCTTCCAGGGGCACGTGCTGCTTTGGGTTCTCACCTGCTCGAGGGAACGCACACCTCAGCCCGCATCACTGATGCCACGGCGACGGCGCTCTCACGAATGCGCACACCTCGTCCTGCACCCGGCGGTGCTGCACCCGGCGGTGCTGAGCCAGGGCCACTAACAACTCTCCCGCTTAAGGGACTGAAAGCCGCTCACGGAACGGCCTCTCCTGTCAGAACCAGCGTGCCCTTCACAGAGCACATGCACCCTCCAGACAGAGGGAAAGTGAGAAAGCACCCCCAGGGCGAATGTCCACTCAGTAATCCCTTCTCTCCCATTCTCTCTGAATTTTGGCACATGTACCCGGCATGTTTTTCAGCCCACCAGGTCTGGGGCTTGAACCTGCGGAGTTTATGTGTGATCCGGCACCTTATCCACCCCACCGCTGGCCCCCTTCTCAGTCTGTCTCACTCTGGCGGTCAGTGTCTGTTCCCTCCGTGACGTTTGCAGTCACGCCAGGCTACGCGTTTGGTTCTAAGTTGGAACTTCGCTGTGCATCCGCAGTGGCACACGTGGGCTGACGGCATCACGCTGTGGCGTGTCTTGCTCCTTTCTGGTGCTTTACGCAGACTAGAATGGCATCATTCTGGTGGGGTGGTGCCTGTCTGTGCACCCGCCTTTAAGCGCCCCAGGAGGAACTGCACTCGGTCCGTGAGTGCCTGCGTGGTTCTTCGGAAACACCCCGCAGCTCTGGCTGGTCCTTTCTCTGCCGCTGCCTTATCGTTACTAATTTGGGCTGCGTGTGTAAGGAAAGCAAGAGCCCAGGCTGTGGGGTGAGACGGCAGCCAGGCCCTGGCCTGGCCGAGCCCTCCGTCCCTGCACCCGGTCCTGGAAACTGAGAAGAGGTCTGTCCCCTCCCACAAGGCGTGCACTCAACGGATGGCAGCCCTCCCTCACTGCCAAGGACCATTCCAGAAAGCTCTCATAAGCGCCGCAAGGTTCACTGCAGGCCATTTGCAAACCACACATAAAGGGAAGGAGTGCCCTACACTCCCGGAGCCCAGGAAACTGCCGGCCCCCGGATGCACTTCCCAGTCTCTGCCGTGTAGTACGTGCAGTTGAGAACGAGACCACACTGCAGGTACACAGGGAGAGGGACGACAGAAGGCCCATCCAGGCAAGGCTGCTCTTCGCGGTCACAGCAGCAGCCTCACCAGAGACCTGCCCCCTCTCCAAAGCCAAGTGTGCCCTCCCCAGGCAGCGATGCCGAGGTGCTTTCTCCGAGATGCCAGCTATGGTGCGACAGGTGTGCAGCCACAGGAGACAACCAGCAGAAGCCCAGCCTGCACGCGCACACTCGAACGCCAGCGTGTCCGTGGTCTTGTGGCTGCCGCCCCCAGAGAAACAGGGGGCGGGACG